TTTTTAAATTAATTTCTAAAATTATATAGAGTTGGCATTTCTAACGGGTAACAAAGTGCACGGTGTCAGCATACTATACACATGTATAAATAAATAAAATATTACTATATGTATAATACCTATATTATATAGCCATATAGGTACCTATTAGGTTAGGTACCTATTATAGGCATGATCACTGCATAGGCGCCTCAACAACAGCAGAAATATAAAATATTTTAATTTTAATTTTAATTTATTTCAGAAATCGTTCTAAGTTCAAACCGGTATTTATGAATAACTATAGGTTCGTTTTTATGTATAATTATTAATTACTTATATACAATGTCGTTATACGGCCGTATGTTTATTAATGTTTCAACATTTTTTATTACTTACCGCGGCTACCTTATTCATGAATAAATGCATACAAAACCGCTTTACAAGTAGGTACCTCGTACCTACCTATATATTATATTATTCTTTAGTCTGTGATACCTATGTGATATGAGTATTGACCATTGGCGCAAATAGCGTTTGATTTTTAGGGAGGGGTTTAAACCATTAATATAATGATATTAAATAAGCTTAAAAATACTCAGGAAGTGTTGGAGAGTGGGGTTAGCCCCCTATTTTTACCTATAAATATGGCCTAATTACCTATATAAGTACATATTGTACATGAACATATAGATACAGCCGCAAAAAAAAAATGTCTTTAAATATTCATTTAAAATTATAATTTGCATTTTATTCATAGTTTTCTTATGTAACAAAGATATATATTACGTTGGTAGGTAGTAGGTACGTTTTTAATTAAATAATGATGTATAATATGTATTATATTATATACTTCTATGAAAAATGATTTTTAAGTAGGTAGGTATTCATAAACCTTGTTCATTAGGTACGCGATATCCTAGGTTTGATGAACTTATCTAGAATTTTATTTCAAGTGGTTACCAAATATTTCTTAAATATATACCTATTATCCTAGGTAGATATATTGTGTACTACCATTGATTATATAAATTAGTAGTATACATTGCCGGATCTAGGAAGTTTTACGCCCGGGGCTAATGTAGCCAGGCGTCACCACAAAATAAAATGTTTAAATACAAATCAAAATATAATATTTTTATAATACAATTATTTTTATTGAAACCATTGTTTTCATATTTATATAGTACACAATATGTCTGATGTCAATATTATACCTGAACAAATTAAATGCATATTGAAAGTATTTGAAAAAAAAGCTGGTAAGTGGATGTCACTCTGCTGTACAGTAATGGTATAGTAGATTGTATTAAACTTGAATTCAATGATATAATATCATTGTATAAGAAAAACGATTCTGAGCGGAGACGGTTTGTCAGTCTGGATATTTTATATTGTTATTATTTATTATATCATGTAAGTTAAATTAATATTATAATATTATTATTTTTTATTCATTTCTACATGGTGGTAAACAAAGCGTTAGAAATTAAAATCCCATTATTAACGGTTTTTCGTAATTTTTCGGTGGTTTTTCCCATGGCATTAAATAACTTATATTGATAAAATCGAAAAATGACCTCTCTAAAGTACCATCTTGATCCAATTCGCTAAAATATAAGGTACCATATGTTGAAATTTAAGCACTGCTTCTGGTAGAAATTTTGTATACAGGATATAAAAAGGAAAAAAATTAAAAAATTAATAAACACCATTGTAAAACCACTAGCTTCCTTGCCAGTCCTGTAAAGTATTTGAGTAAAAGTATTCAAATACTTTTTTAAGTATTGAATAACTTTTTAAATACTTTCAGCATGAAGTATTTTGAATGGTATTTTAAATACTTTTTTTTGTATTAAATACTTTTTGGTATTGAATACTTTGGTTTTTTATTTCGAACATTTTATTTTATTCGAAATAATTTTAGAAATTTTAGAATAAATTAAGAACACAAAATAGGTAGTATCACCAATGGGTGGTTTCTTCCCTCAAAAAAAATCATACGCAAATACCCTATGCACATTTGCTTATTGTTCTAGTTAAGAACAGATTGTAAATTTCATGTAAAAATAAAAAAAAAATGTAATAAACATTTATTTAATAAATAATAAATAAAAATGATTATAAATTTACTACCTATGTGTCTATATTACAATAATTAGAAACCCACTTTAAAAACCAAAAGTATTTGAAAAGTATTCCAAATACTTTTTCAAAGTATTTGAGTAGTATTTGAAATACTATACAATTAAAGTATTTGAGTAGTATCTTAAATACTTAAAAAAAAATGTATTTGAGTACTTACTCAAGTACTTTTCAAAAGTATTCTTTACAGGACTGTTCCTTGCTCCGCTAAGATTCTTTAATATAAAAATATTAACATTATACATAATGTTCCCGAATAAGATTATTTGGATTATAATAATAAAATTACGTGCAGCTGAAAAAAACCAGACAATAAAATGACCATGAATGAATTAACAAGTGTTCATGATTATTATTTTCTGGATAATAATTATAATAGAATAAAGTATAAACCAAATGAATTTATGTACTAGGTAATGAGTTTTCAGTAATTGTTTATATTTTTGAGTTAAAGCTCAATATTTTGCTTAATTACTACCTACTTACTACTACACGATACTATTTTATCATTGTTGAAATAATTGATTTTTTTAGCTTTTTGGCTCTACTCATCTGCATTATATAAAAACTATTTATCTTCATTAAGTAGGTATTAAAAATTTATAAAATCAAAATATTCAATAATTAAATAATTAAATAATGTAAATGGATAAAGTTTTTTATAAGTTTAAAAGTCGTTGGGTCCGATTGTATATTTTATATTCAGATTGTAGACAGTATTTGGGTATTATTAATTTATTTTTAGTTACCTACTTAGGTACCTACAACTTACACTAACAATTAAATTTTCTAAGTAGGTATCTATATTTATATAAATATATAGGCATACTGATTCTTGGACATTTTTATCACATTAATATTACTATTATAGTCATAATTTCATTATTTAAATACCTACTGTTTGTTATAAATTATAATGCACACAGAGATATTAGAACATCGATTTAATGACTACCTACATTATTATACTTACACTTTACACATATTAGATACCTATCTATAAGTTTCGTCTTAAAATTAATGACTCGACCTTTACGAAGCAATAAAGAATTTTCATCTATTTTTTTTTTTAAATAATACCTATCAAATATTAACACAACAATTTACAAATTATACTTAATTATAATAATAAATAATAATAATAATTATTATTATATGTAGATTATAATATAGCTACCACGCAGTCACTCAGATAAAATATAATATACTTACGTCCTACATAATATATTATCACTAAATTAAGATCATTATATTTTATTTTATTAAATGTATAATATAGGTAGTATACCAGTAACCAGTGTATAAATTAACATTTCATGATGTGGCGTAAACGTATCATGTAACATTGTAATATAGTTATAGTATAAAATATGCATAGTCTAATATGCATATAGTTATTGATTTCAAGCTTATGAAATGATTTATCTCAGTTGGATAAAAATTTTTTTTTGGGTCCTCATCAGTCATCGCACCACTTTTCAATTCAAGTACCTACTTGTAATTTGCCGTTAATTTGATAACTACCTACTGCACTCAATGCCACCTACCTACTCTAGTGCTCTCATTCGACGTAAGTAAATTAACTGTCTTACTATTCACCAACTATCTTCTAGCAAAACATTGAATGGTATTCGAATACAATTTGAACACAATTGATTTATAGGTACCTATATTTTATAGTTTGTAGTCGGATAAACACGACCATTATATTATTTAACCACTAATCGTACAAGCTACACATAAATGTGTGTCCTTAAAAGACAATATTAATTATGTAATTTTTACAACGTAGTAAAATTTAATACACATCTCGTCGTAAATTTGATGATATCAAATGGATACTGGAATTTAGTGTAGTGGAACCTATACAAAGCGTACAGGTACTATTTTTTTTATTTTACAAAAAATAAATGACTGACAAAATTTAATTTTTATAATATTATACCCGACTATTGCTCATCTTACTTCAATCACGTATTCGGTAATAGGTACCTACCTAGCATATTGTGTTTTTTTTTTAATTTGGAAGTTGCAAAGATGTTATAAGTCCCCATCATAATATAATAATATTATTTGAAAAACATAGTTTTCGTTGTTCGTACTTTAAATATCCGTGGTTAAAATTACGAATCAATCGAACTATCTTCTTGGTTTTAAATTCTTAAGTTCATTTTAGAATCAGAGTTTTTACAAACTGCGCGTATTTTATCATCAATTGTTTTTCAGAAAGAAAAAATAAATTGCTTGTAGAACTTATAGAACGCCCATTGTGATTAAAATTAATGTTGGTTAGGTTTATCTACGTAACAAGTTGAAAATAATAGTTGAATATTAAAATAATGATTAATTTAATTTTCAGATAAACTACACAGTTTATAGATTGTTTTATCATTAAATATTAATTATATTTGAATATCGTAGCTATATTGATTTATGTTCTAAAGTAAAATGAATAGGTATCTCATAAGATACTTAAATACTTTAACCTCTACATGCTTTGCTAATTAATTTGATAAGTCCGGTACCTATAAGTGGTTATAATTTTGAACACACCATTATGTATTCTGGACATTTAAATTTAGTTTGCTGGTTCGCCTTGTCCTTGTTCCATATAACTTACCAAACCTCGTCCATGACCATCTTCGTTTGGATATTTCGTACGACGTTTACATATCATAATAATAATATTATATTGTACGGACGTACGGGTGACATTGTGTTGTAAGCACAGTAGCAATTAACTACTACACCAGTTCGAATATTGGACGATTAAAAGTTTATCCGTTTACATCAGTTTTAGACGAACGCGAATTGACTTCCACGCCGGCCGATAAATAGATTTCATATTCGTCGGAACACAATATATACAACTCAGGATGGCAGACGCCGAGGTGAAATCAAACATTTTGACTTTGGCGTCATTCTGGATATTGGGCCTTTGCAATAACTTTGGATACGTTGTGATGTTAAGTAGCGCTCATGACATTTTAAAATCCAATTCCGCTGCTCCGGGAGGCAACGAAGTAAGTATAAAGACATAAAGTATAATATTATTACTTTGAAAGTGTAATACAAATCCCACCAAAAACGTATATGTAAAATGAGAGCCAAGTTCAATACTATAATATATGCCTTGGTTGTTGACTTCAACGACAAAAGAAGTGAGATCTAAATGCAGGGTGCCAAGTTAGGATAACATATTGAAGCCTAAGGTCTAACTTGACTGACTCGGCGATACGGGAAAGGTTAGAGTCGCTATTTAAGTCAACATTACATTAAATTAGAGGCACTTAATTAATTAATTGAAAAATTAAATATAATAGATCAAATAATTGAAAAATTATAATAAAATCAATTGATTAAAAAATTCAAAATTTTCAAGTTTCTGATTTTTTCTAAATTTGAACTTTCTAGGTCATCTGGAACTTTGTTAGAATTTTGATCTATAGGCCAGTCAGTCAATCAGTGATAAAAATGACGATTTCGGGACGTTAATATCTAAATAACGGTTTGAGGTGTGTTTATGAAATTTGGAGCACATATGTATCTTGTAAGTCTGAATATATAAGCCAAATTTGAAATGTTTATGTAGAATATATTTTGAGTTATGAGGGGGTCAAAAGTGGCTCCAAATGGTTCGTGTAATATTACACACGGTGCTGCTCGCCAGTTCTGTTAGCTAGAACTTGGCTTGACACGCTACCGCGTGTCTAGATATTATTAGAACATGGTAATTAGTAATTACCGCACTTTTTGTTCTGAGGAATAAATATAAATTAATCATATATAAATGATTATTGATTAAATTAAATTATAATTCTAAATGTTCAATAATATATAGCTATAGACTTAGAAGTTAGAGTCATTGTATTATTATATAATATTGCTACCCAATTGAAAAACTATAGAGATGTAAACACGAATAAACTTTAAACTTAAATAAGTCCCTACAGATTTTTTACCTAAAAATATAAATTAATACATTAAAGCTTGTATTGAACGAAATGTTCATTATGATTAAATGTTTTTTCTTCCTAAAGTAATTGCTATAATATCTGAATAAATTATGAATATTATTAACACAAAAGGCAAACAAATTTAAATAAAATATTAATATCTATAGTATAAAACTATATCTATCTGATATTGGAAGCTGAGTCGTTCTAAAAATATACAAAAACTTCTTGAAAATAAGTAGGTATTTCATTCAATAAAAGTAATTTATCTAAAGCTTAAAATATGATTTTTATTACTTCATAGATTATACTGCACTGACTATAATATAGTAGGTATAATGTAGGTATTAATGTATTATCTTATTATCTAGTTATATTATATAGTTAGGTAAATATTAAAATAGATTATTAAATACTAAGCTACATTGCTTAGCCTACGTCTATACCTACGTCTATCCCAAGTTTTAATTACCCTTAAGTATACATTATTGAATTATGAATTTTATTATGTGACAGTGATAGTTATAGTAAGTACCAACTATAATAGTTACTCTCACTTCATTATTAATTCAACAGGTTTTCAGGCTTTTAAAGTTGTAAATTGTGCCTAATAAGTAAAACTGTTGATTTCATAATTAGGTATAATTATAAAAATTACGTGATAGGATACATGGTTATACTTATATCCTTATCCACTTGTAGTATGATACCTATGGATTAAACATTATTTAATAACAGTTTACAGTTGACAAATCAATATTTAGCTTGATAGTGCAAAACATTAATCTAGAATTATAATGAGATTGGCTGAACATTAAAGGAAGCTAATAATTATTAATTATAATTTTCTATTAATCCGCAAAGGTAGATTGACAAAACAAAAATTCAACTTAATATTTAACTTTTTAAATATTTCTATACATGTACCTTTTTATGTAAAATTGTATGATTTGTCAGATTTTTGTTTGATATATTAATAAGCTAAGTAAATGTAATATTACCTTATACTATAATTTATTTATATAGGATATCTACGTTTCCGGTTTACATGACTTGTTCTCCGTATTAGTGCGTCCAATGTATTTTTAATGAATGATTTTTTTTCTGATTTGTTTTTGTCTATCGATTTTATAAAATATATAAAAAAAACTTTAAGACCAACATTTAAAAAATACATCTATATTTAAAAGTTCATTAGATGGAAAGTCCGTAAAAATTGATATCGGTGTCCACATTCAATGACCACTCTTTAATGATTTATGATTTAAAAACAATATGCATGTATATTTTATGATGTTGATTTATTTTATAAATATTTAGGTTATGAAGTAAAAAAATAACTAATTAATTTTTTTTAAATTTAAATTTTTATAATATTATCCTTTTAGATGTAGTTAAAAATATAATTATAGAAATTGTTATACTTTTTTAAGTAATATTTCGATTTTTCTGGATAAAATTACATGAAATATATTTATATATAATATGTAACATCACTAACATAATTAAATTTGATTTTAAAGACAGTCAGCATTAACTCAACTCAAGATGTATTCAAAAGAGAATGTAATTATTTGTCGACCGGCGTTATTCTATTGGCCGATATTATGCCTGGACTGATAATCAAGATTTTCTCACCATTTTTCGGGTTATATATCAAGTGAGTAATATTATCTATTTGGACCATATGTTTTTTTTTTTTTAATTTTTCTATCAGCTTAATTTACATAATAAAAACAATTATTTTTACAGCCGAAGACTATCGTTGTGTATTGCACTGACAACCGCTAGTTTTATAACTGTGGCAAAAGCGGATACTGAATTAATTGCCGCTTTCGGTGTAGCACTGACATCCATGGCTTCAGGTCTAGGAGAAACAACACTTTTGTCTTACATGGTCAACTATGAACGGTATGAACATAATATAAAGTAAAAAATTGTTCTAGGTACCTATAATATAATATAAGCCTATCGATAACTACCATGACTCCATTATCCATGGGGTTCGATTGTGGTTTGAATTCTTAATATTTCAAGAAGAATAACTAATTATTTATTCTTGAAAATTTTTTATTTGACAGATCATCAATAACATTATTAGTTATACTAGCCAATAGCCACTAGGTCCGGATTTGTAGGTAAAACAAAACTGGATGGTTGTTATTCGAAAATGTTCTAAAAAAAACCATGTGGCTATCTTAAAAATTAATAATATGGTTCTTATGAAAAAATAGTCAGTGAAGAAAAACATGTTTTATATTATTATTCACAATTAATTATTTTTATTGATAAAAAGGTAGTCAAGAAAATGTTTGATGAAAAGCTAATAATAATTGTAAAAATATAACACAATTTCATCGCAACCTATAAGAAAAAAAGCTGCTTTGCTGTACCTACAGTAGGTTACAAGTGGGTTACGGTATAATACTATAATGGATGGTATTAAATTTGAATTCATTGATATAATATCATTGCATAAGAAAAACGATTCTGAGGGGAGACGCTATGTCAGTCTAGGTTTAAGGCATATTATATACATATCTATGGTATTTTAAAAAATATTGACATATAATAGGTACCTATAATAAATTCCAAATTATCATGTCACAATATCCATTAGGTACTTATAACGCGTTATGCATCAACAACAAACCGTGATACTATCATAGATATATTATAATAGTACACTTTAGAAGTTTCAAGTACCCACAAATAATATTATTATACAATCACAACAAAATAACTAAAATAATTATTCTAGGTTTTTTTATTATGTAATTTCGTCCAAATTTGAACTTAAAATGACTATAAAAATAAACTGTGCTTGTGTATTTTTTTTTAGATATTTTGGTAAAAGAATGAACTACTTACATAGAATCTTGTTTTAAATTTTCAATCTTTAGATATAAAAGTTGAACATTTTATAAATTTTTAACTACAAAATAATTATTCAATTTTAAATTTGATAAATTTTGTCAACATTTGATCTTTAAATGCTTATAAAGAAAAATTGTGAATATGTATTTTTAATTTTTTAACTGCTATTGTAACAACAAATCAGGAGCCTTGTATCACATTTTTACACTTTTTGACCCAACAGATAAAACTTTATTGATATTCATAGAAAAAAAATAAAAAAAATTGAAACTGACAATGCCCGTAAACAGCTCAAAAAGCGTCAAAATTTTATCAAGTGTAAGAATTAATAAAATATACATTTAGTGAAATTTGCATGGATAGAGTCATTCGTTTTTGAATTATATCACAATAAGAAAATCGTTACATGAAAAATCGAGTGAATAACAATTTTTTTAAAAATATGAATTTAAAATGCTCATAAAAATTTAATTTCACTTTCCGGTAGAGATTTTTTTTATTGATAAAGGTAGACAAACTTATGAGTAATCTTGTATTACATTTTCAAATCTTAGATTTAAAAAGAAAAACTTTTATGAATTTCTAACTAAAAATAATTTGCAAGATTTCGTTTTTTTTTCCGTATTTGTTCAATATTTGAACTTTAAATGCTTATAAAAAAAACTGTGACTAAGGATTTTTAATATTTTTCAAACTTCATTGTGTAGCGAACTGTGACTATCTTGCCATATGGCTTAAACACATTATAATGTATACGTAATCATATAATATTCGCACCGCGTAAATATAAATATTATACTCGAGCGTTCCTCGAATAGTAATAATTATAATATCAATAATAGTAATATCGAGTGCGTGACCATGAGCGGCGTGCGACGATAGATATATGACTACGTATATGAATAATCCTAAAATAATGTAGTTTAGATTTGTGTTGTTATGTTAAATAACACCACAAATGTACAATATAAATATATATAGATTTCCGGCGCGTGCAAGCGTGTGAATCACGTTAGGCTTAACCGCAGGACCATGTATGGTCTTAGAATTTATGCAAGGGACAAGGGACAGAGATCCATCGAGGAGAGCTGATGGATAAGCGTTCTTCAGACGAGCAACCAGCCTTAACTTGAACAGTCACTAATTACTCACTAGTCACATCTCGCTTAAGTCATTAATTGGACTTAGAATATTTTCCATAATAACTTTTACACAAAATAAATACAATTATTACCATCAAAGATGTTTTGTTCAATTTATACTTCAATTTCTACGAGTAACGCGGAGTAGCACGTTACAATTGTAAATACATAATAGAAGATTTTTATTACATTTTCAAGTTTTTTTACCTAACAAATTAAGTTTTATTGACATTCATAGAAAAAAAACATAAAAAAGTTCGAAATTGAGTATATCCGTAAACAGCTCAAAACAAGTCAAATTTTTTTCATGTATAGAAAAGGCTAATATAAACATTCAGTGAAAATTGCATGTATTTACGATCATTTGTTTTAGAGTTACACCAAAAGCCAAAATCGATTTTGTCAAAAACCTATTTTGGGTAAAAATTCCCGTTTTTCCTTAATTTTTATTTTGTTTTTCGTGTCACTTTACTCGCTTTTGAAAACTACTCGGAAATTTTTACTTTTGACCCCCCAAAGTACCAACTAAAAAAAAAAACTCCCAGCGCTTGTGAAAACTATTGGGAATTTTGAAATTTGACCTCCCGAATGCACCAACTAGATTCATTTTCCCATCGAACAAGATACTGTTGAAGAAAATCGAATCAGTTTTACTGCCCCAAACCGTGACAAAAATAAAAAAAATAAATAAAAAAAAACTCACGTCATTGTAAAATCAATACATTCATCGTTCCACTGAGAATCTAAAATATTAGATTGACTTTATTTGCATAAGTGTCTGCAAAAACACCAGTATATTATAAATAAATATAGAAGTATGGATAATCCAACGAAACCCAGATAATATTATAAACATTAGATTATAATACACAAGTACATTCAACTATACTGATCGTATAAGTAATAAAATCATAAACTAATAATAATATTATAATCTAATTATAATCACTATGCACACAATATCTACAACATGATTTGTATACACGGCTTACGAAATTGCCTATACCAAACCCCTTAAACCCGAATCCCCTTATGCTAAAAAAAACTTAATACTCTCTAACCCCTGAAATACTCTTGAATATGCAAGAAAAACTTTCATCTGTGAACTATGTATTTAAATGAATGGTTTTAATTTATTGTCCACTCCTATCAAACTGATATATGAAAACCTAGGAATCTAGAATTTGGATTTTTACAATGATGTGGATAAATGCATAATACATTAATAGTTAGTACATAAATACAAATTTTAATGTAATACCTATAATATTCCTGATCTCAAAAATCGTGTTCAGATTAACTGACATTATTGGTCGATCGTGACTTTGAAATGTATCTAACTATCGAGATTTTACCGCTTAATATTGTTATAATATCATGAAAAATTGAAAACACATGACCATGTGTATAGTGTATTCGATTCCTATACATCATTCCTAAGTATAGATTCGATAGTATAACGTGTTCTGTACAACACAATGTCGACGGAAGGACAGAAACTATGTCATTTTTATAAAGACATTTTTAAGACGATCGTTGCATTTTTTTACTAAAACATTTATTTTGCAGAACTGTAATTACATCTTGGGCTTCTGGAACGGGTGCTGCTGGTATATTAGGAGCGTTGACTTATGCAGGATTGACTGGCGTTTTCCATTTATCTCCGTCCACGACGATGTACTTAATGCTTTCAGTACCATTTTTAATGGGAGTGTCGTAAGTACTTATTTGTTTAGTTTTAGTCCATTTGTTTTTCAAAAATACACATCAACAATAATGAATGAGTTTAGTTTGATTAATAAAGTCATGAAATCATGATGCTATTTTTAGTATCTGTTTTTGTTTGTTTCGACAAGGATAAAAAAAATCGAAATTATACATATTAATTATTTACTATTTGATCTTATAAATTGGAAAATTTTAAAAAAATTAATTTTTTTAAGATTTTGGGTATTATTAGAACACCCGAAAAAAGATGAAATTCCAACGATGTCTAGCATTTCTCCAGATCCAAGTACCAACAATCAGAGTTTCTCGAATAAGTTTTCGTACATACCCAAATTGTTGAAATTTATGATTCCTTTAGGGTTAGTGTACTTCTTCGAGTACTTAATCAATCAGGGATTAGTAAGTTTTCCACATAATAAAAGTTACTTTCAAATTCATGTTATACATAATAACAGATTTAATTGTTTTCAGTTTGAGTTGGTTTATTTTGAAAAAATATGGCTGACACATTCAGAGCAATACAGATGGTACCAAGTCATATATCAGTTGGGCGTTTTCACTTCTAGGACTTCAGTAAGCCTGTTTCCGATCGAAAAAATTTGGATTCTGACAATATTACAGGTATCATTATTGTTTTGTACACATTCTGGTCGATAAATAAACTTAAGTAGGATATTAATTCAGCAATAACGAAAAAAAAATATTTTGTTTTTCAACCCATTTCTTTTTTTTGCTTTTAACATACAGTAGTTGTATAACTATAGTTAGTATATAATATAATATATGCATACTCAATACATTTTTATGAGTAGTAGTTAATTAAACTTTGAAGATCAAGTTATATACCTACTGTGACTATTTATTACTCATTAGTTATTAATATAAACGGACATTACCTACCCATTTAAAATTTAATTTGTGCACATTTTAATATTTCTCATTTATTATTGTTTAATGTCATTCGAAACTTTAAAATAATTTCTACAAATGTATGATTCTAATTATTTTTTCATTTTCAGGGTCTCAACGTCGTATACTTTTTAATCGAAACGCTGTATTCTTTCACGCCAAATATATACATTATATTTGCGTTAATAGGATACGAAGGTTTATTAGGCGGAGGATCATATGCTAATACGTATCATAACATCATGAAAAAAGTATGAAGCCACTTAATTTATATTATAATTTATATCTAACACATAAAATATAATATATAGTTATTATAATATTATACAGGATAATTGACCAAACATACCCATACCCTTTATACGAGATATATTGATTTTAAAATGATGTGTGTTTTTTTGCATATGAGACTTTGAGAGGTAAAAATAAGATAAACAAAAAAAAATTAAGGAAAAATTTTTTACCAAATGTTAATATTACAATTTTATATTTAAGTATGTTAAAATTTTAAAATATTTTTGACACTTTAAGGTATTTATAAGTGCATAAGAAAATTAGAGACATTTATCAAAATCACAAAAATGCAAATTATTTTGTAGTTAAATATTATTAGTATGTTCAATTTGTATCAGGAACCGGAACCGAAACCTTTATTTTAATAAAAATGTACCAGAACCGAACAGTAATTTTAAAATTAAATTGGTTTTTTTAGGTTCAAAAATAAAATAATTTTATTTATCATAATTTAATAGTAGCTATTTCCTATTACTGTTTTGTGTATAAAGTACGAATGACCATATGAGTTTTCTAATATTTCTCATACTATTAATTAAACCAGCATTCTGAATATCTATTTCAAGTTCTTATATTTTCGGTACCTAAATTATCTGGAGCCGGTAACTCAATTATTTTGAACCGATACCTTTATTTTATATGAACAAGAAACCAGAACCGAACCGGAACAATTGTTTTATTTTTGGAGAACCAGTACGGAAACAATACTGGAGTCTGGAACCGATACCGATAAATTCAAAAGGATCTAGTCCCTGATTTGTACAGCTAAAATTGATAATGTAAAACAAATTTTCTCATAAGTATTTAATACTATAACCCAAAAATTGAAATATAATATAAACCTATTACTTTGGTACATAAAGTATAATAAGTTAGAAACTACTCTTTATGTGAATCAAAATATTCAAAAGAATCATTTGATTAACAATTTACAGTATAAAAGGGTGGTTTTCATTTGGAAAACAAGTTTGTATCATCAGAGAAGATTTTAAATGTTATAAAAAAATGTTATATTTGAGTGAACTTACTTAAAAATTCAAAATATCAGAATTTCAATAAATGCATTATTAAAGGGTAAAATGGGTGAGCATGCTTGAAGGATCATTATCCTGTATACATAAAATATACCTACGAAAACAAACTCCATCTTATTATTGTTTGCAGGTTCCGAAGGAGCGTCAGGAATATGCAATGGCCATGACGTCACTTGCTGACGCGATCGGTATTTCATTATCCGGACTGTTGGCCATTCCATTACACAATCAAATTTGTAAAATACCGAAATGAGACTCTTAAATTGACACTGATCTATAAAAAATAAGTGTTTTTCGTACCAGAAGAATTATTAATTTTAGAATGTTAAGTACTTATGTTAATTTTAAACAAAAACTATGTTAATGTTACTCACTATGACATAATATCGTTTGACTCCTCACTAAGATGACTGGTTTGAATATTATCTGTAAGCAAACACGTATGTTATAATAACATTGTGAACGAATAAAATAGGATGTTTGTACCTAAGTAGGTATATACCTAGTACCTACCCATGAGAATGTCTTAAGTATAATAATAAATGATATTGTAAAAATTTTATAAAAATGGAAACGTTTTGATAATAATAAATAATAATGTTTTGTAATCAAAAGTTGTTTTCAACTCACAGACTGGCATGTTGACTTTAGCTCTATACATCACGTTAGTTCCTCGGCTGACTATGATGTCTATTGCTCGGTCGTCGGAACCACCATAGGTGCAACAAGTGACGAACGTCTCGCAATAGATTTCCGTCCCCGGAACAATAATCGGAACCTATTGTGTCAATGTGAATAGATAATTTATAAATATTCGTGTACCAGTAGAGTTAGTCATATTCTGCAAGTATTTTTGACTAATTGATAACTCTTATTTGCAATGAAGTCGAATAAAATCGCAGGGCTGACTTCAAGGATGCAAATAATATATAATTACACCAAGCCCGGATTAAGTCATCCCCTTAACTCGGACTTGCGTGACACAAGAAACTATATTATTTTACTTTATTGTTAAAATACGTCTTATCAGCAGGTGTTGTTACTTATTTCTGTTTTACTAACATAATACATACAAAAATGTATAAGTTCTGTAGTTCTAATTTTGTGAGGTTAACTTTAATATGAAAATAAATTGATCATATATCTATGGAATTGATCAACTAACAGCTTTTGAGGTAAAAACATAATCTGTACTCTTCAGTTGGTTTTTTACTCTACATAGGTACCTATATATGTACTCATAACTCGCTTAAAAATGAAAATATCAGAAAAATCGAACAAGAGAATCAACAGATAATGTTCTTATCTGTAAGTTTGATCATAGATCAAGTCACTGTAATATTTAACACAAAATTGGAAATGCTTTCGAATGTAAAATTTGATATGTTATGCGTAAGCAATACGGAAACAAGTCAACACATGCTGGTACGACGTCTTCTTAAGCTTACCCTGCAACGTGGTGATTCTATACTATGATATTGGGCATTGTATAAAAACGCAACGTTGATGCCCATCAAAGGTTCTTTACCCAAATTTTTCAAAAAGAAACGGATTTTGAAACGTGGACCTAGACCTAAAAGCTAAAATATACATTTCATGTGACATCGTCGTATTTATGCCGAAATACGACTACATTATAATATTATATTGCTACCAGTGGCGTATCCGCAGGATTTGATAAAAGAGACTGAACTAACTTATATCCATGGACTATGATCGGTAAAAACCCTATTATATTTCTGTACCTGAGAGGCTAAAGGGTCCAAGTCCACTTTTATCAAAATTGAGGTTATGGTTTTTTCTTATGTGAAATTTTGACGCGCGTCATTTTACCTATCTTCATTTTAGTCCAATAACGAATATTTACCGAGATATTGGGAAATAACAAAAAGAACTAAGTCCAAATATTTATTTTGATTTATGAATTATGATCCAAGTCCATAAATAATCAAAATTAACATGGAGATTTATAGAGTCCAAGTCCACTGTGACCACTGTGTGATTGAGCAAAATGATCTAAGTCCAAAACATTTCATTTAAATCGTAAAATAAACAATTATAGGTAAGTTATAATTAAAAGAAAAAATATTCATCTTATTGAGAATATTACAGCTTATTATTTAAAACAAATCTTGTTGGTATAATCATTAAATTGAATTTACACCAGCTATTTAAGTAAAATAAAAATAGTTGAAAAACGGTTTTTTGGCTCTCCTGAAAAGTTACAATAATGGACTTAGACCCTTTAGCCTCTCAGGTACAGATTTATATCTATGTCTCGTTGTCACATCCACATAATGTAGGTAATTAACATTTTTTCGAAATATATTTAATATACAAGGTGACTCTTTTAGCATTCTTGCCTACTATGTATTATACTATTATGATTAAATTATGCATATATTCAAGCTCTGATTTTTAGAATTTTAAATACACTTCTCTTTTCGAATACTTGACATTTTTGTATCACTGGAAATATCTGTTTTCAAAACAGGAACCCCCTCCTCTTTTTACTTTTAATTATTCTGCAAATATATAGATAATTTTATCTTCACAATATACTATAAAAATGAAGCTCCTCTAGACTTCCTCCGGCGAACACCACTGATCGCTAGGTATTGTTTAACATTTCATACTTGAGCTGAGGTGTGTAAAAATTGGCTTGTAACTTTTTGTTTGATCGAATTCAACCGTTCGTTTGACACTACTATTTGCAGTAGTTGCCATGTTTGCTGAGTTCGTACGTGCATTTCTACAAAAACAAAAACAAAAACGCTAAGAGATTCATTCGAATTTCGAATCGATATTTTGTTTATTATTTACCCTTACAGTGTTCTCTCTCTCGTAAAGTCTGTTCTATGAACACATTACTTCTCTTGGGTATGCTCAAGTTACCTTGGACGTGCGCTGTCAACGTCGGGCGAACACACAAGTCGAACGTCGCTGTTCGTTTTAAGAGTTTTATGTCTACTTTTCCGTCTAATAATATTTTTGTAATCATTTAAGTCAGTCACCATTATATCATTCCTAGTTATAATACGTATATCTATAGATTAGCTATGGTGTGCGGCTATAATACATATAGTAAAGGTATAAATAATAATTATTTAATTTATCGTCAGCACTGAGAGTTAAATGCATTAAATCCATGAATATGCTAGCGCAATATTAGATATGCACTCAAAAAAAAGAAAAATGTGCACTGAATATTATGCAAAATAAATTCAAAATTATATTTATGACATTAAAGATAATATTATCTCTTACCAATAAACAATATACTTGAAATATTAAAAAAAGTATTTCAAGTCTAACCTATTATGAAAAATAAATAAATAGATAAACTTAAAAAATAAATGCTTAAAATTTGATTTTCAAATATTTCACACGTTGGTATAATCTATAAGCACCAAGTCCATCATAGATTTATAAACACAAATATTTTAATACAAAAACATTAAAAAATGCAAACTAAAATGGTTATATCTTGAATAAAATAATACATGTACCTATATATATTATTATGATTTATGTTCACACTTATTTTGATATATTGTTCACACTTGTACTAATAATTAAATCCACAGCCTTGTTTATCGTTAGTAGGTACTCACTGGTAGTAATCATGATCAGAGCGTTTTCCTCTTGTCCAAATCTCCCAAATGTGATGCAAGTCACTGGATCTGGCATGGAAATCTTGTGGATCACAGTCGAACCGCAATACATAAGAACTAACCCCCTGGAGTGTCCATCAGCATTGATCACGTTGCACGACACGACTGTCATTTCGAGTGACATACTTTGCACATACATGTTCACCATGCACGTAGGATCTCCAGGTAATTTAACATTCCACAAGGATACACACTGTAATAGGTAAACGGAGTTGTGAATGAAAAAAATTCATAATTTAGGTGCAGAGGCTGAAAGTGCTGAATGAGCTCAACGTGTCTGGAAGCCTGCCTATATTATACTAAGTATATATTTTGATGAATTAATTATTGATACTAAAATAATTTATTTTACTGTTAGTAATACAGTAGATTGAATTAAATTTTGCCGAAAGCATTGAATTGAATTGGAGACAATATTCCTCAGCTTCTTCAAGAACTATCAGAAAGAGAAAAATGTTCTTTTAATGCCATCGTCCACGGACTTATTGAATCTTCTGCTACTATACCAACTGAACGTTTATCTGATGACCTACAGCATCTGTCTGAGTCCATTCTACCACTTGCTATGTCTCTGCCTTCAGATGTGAAGATGATCAGGTTGGGTCGCACTATTGGTAAGAACCCTCGCCCATTAAAAGTCATATTTTCATCAAAGATCACTTCCCAACAATTCATTAAGGACTTTGTAACCGGTATGCGCTCTCGTACTACTACCGACCCACCATTATTGGTGTCGGTTGTTCGTGATCGTACATTAATGGAACGGCAACAAGTACGTCAGGTATATGCCGATTTGGAACAGCGTAGGAAGAACGGAGAAAATAATATAGTGGTCAGACATTTCAACGGCGTTCCTTCCATTGTCCAGGCAAAGAAGGATTTTCAATTAAATCATACTACTCATCGTCATGTCACCCTAGCAAAAAACTAACCAGCTTGAACCACCCAGGGACCTGTGGTGACGTCAGTCAATCATCCTCATATCTCATCGATCCTCAATGTTTACATTTGGTACCCCTGGCTTCATGTTATCTTTGTAAATTATCTGTTAATACATCTACTGAATTTTTTGATTTTGTAAACCGCTTTAAAAATAATAATCATTTGAATTGTAATCTAAATAGTTTAAACATTTTCTACCAAAATGTCCGTGGGTTAAAAACTAAATTAAGTAATTTTAGATGCTCCATTCCCCTTTTTATTTGTTATGATGTTATTATCCTCACAGAAACATGGCTCTCTTCTGACGTCCATGACTCTGAACTTGGGCTCAATGGCTATCAAATCTTCAGGGTTGACAGAAATTATCTTAACAGTAACTACTCACGAGGAGGTGGTGTTCTCATTGCAATCAAGTCTTATATTAAAACATCTCTTATCTGTACAAACCTCAACACGCTCGAGCAAGTATATACCCTTCTGTCCATTAATTCATTTAAAATTCTTATAGGTGCAGTTTACTTACCACCTATGTCCACGCTCCCAGATTTTGAGGCCCATACCAGCTCTATCGAACACTTAATATCATCTACCAACCCTACATCTATTATTCTCTGTGGTGACTATAATCTACCTCTTATTAAATGGTCTAAAAGCAACCAAGGTCTTTTCGCATCTGGTACCATGTCTAACACTTCTACTCATCTTGTCGATTCTTTCTCGTACTATAATTTTTACCAGCTCAACCAAGTGCCTAATGCCCGTGGATGCCTTCTTGACCTTGTCTTTTCTAGTTTTGACACACCTACTGTCCAACTTGCCAACACTCCAATCGTTTCTCCGGATTCTTACCACCCACCTTTGTTTGTATCTTTTCCATTTCCAACTCCGATAACTGCTCAAGACACACGTACATACCGTGATTTTAAATCGGCTGATTATAAATCCATGCTCCGTTATCTAGGATCGTTTGATTGGGAAAATACTTTTTCGCTTTATTCAGTTGATGATTCTGCTGTTGTCTTTAACGATGCACTTTTAAGCTCTATAAAGAAGTTTGTTCCCATCAAAGTTTTTTCACCTTCTAAATTTCCTAAATGGACATCCACCATTCTCAAACATCTTATAATAACCAAGAAGAAAGCCCATGCTGTTTATAAGCGAACCAAGTCGATATCTGATTATCTTGTTTTCTCTGAATATAGAGCAAAATGTAAACGCCAGTCAAAAGTTGATTACTCTTCTCATATTAGGCATACCGAGGAGGCTCTATCATCTTCCCCCTCCAAATTCTGGAAATTTGTAAATAATCTAAAACAGAAACCTCCAATTCCGTCATCACTCCATCTCGGTAATATTGTCTCAAATACTCCAACTGAATCAGCTAATCTGTTTTCAACTCATTTCTCTTCGACGTTCAACTCCTCGGCTTTCCAACTTTCACCATTTACTGGCTCATCTGATTACTTATCCTATGAACTTCCTTCCGATATAACGTTTTCTGTTGACGATGTTTTTTCCGCTCTTAAATCGTTAAAAAATACTTACTCTAATGGTCCAGATGACATATCCGCTCAATGCTTGTACAATTGTCGTTTTTCTATTGCTTATCCAATATATTTACTATTCAGGCGTTCATTAGATTTAGGTATTTTTCCTAAGGTTTGGAAAATATCCTCTATAGCACCTGTTCTGAAATCTGGTGACGCTTCTGATATCCAAAACTACAGACCAATTTCTATAATACCACATATTGGTAAATTATTCGAATCGATTGTATACTCCAGAATAAAGCGTAGTCTTAATCATCTTATTATAAGTGAGCAGCATGGTTTTAGATCGCATAAATCAACCGTTACAAGTGGTGTTGCCTTCTCCTCTTATTTATCAGAAGTTATCGAACACAGAGGTCAGGTAGATGTAATCTTTACAGACTTTAATAAAGCATTTGACACAGTGGACCACGATTGCCTTATAATGGTGCTTAAGTCTTTAGGCATTGGGAATCCCCTACTATCTTGGTTGCACTCTTACATCACAGGTAGAAAACAATTCATAAAAATCAAAAATGCTGTTTCGGAGTTAGCTGTAATACCATCTGGAGTCCCTCAAGGAGGCCACCTTAGTCCTCTTTTATTTATTCTGTTTGTGAACTCGATAACCAAATGGATCACTAAGGCTAAACTCCTTCTTTTTGCTGATGATATAAAAATATTCCTTAAAATAGACAATCTTAATCAATGTCATATCCTACAGTCTGAACTAGATATTTTTGCAAGTTGGGCGTACTCCATTGGTCTTAGCCTTAATATAAGCAAATGTCATGTTATGTCGTTTTCTAGGCAGCGATCTCCTATCCACCACAACTATTCTCTTAATGGCACTTCTCTTAACCGTGTCTTCCTCTATAAAGATCTTGGTATTCATTACTCACCATCATTAAATTTTGAGCACCATATTAATGTCACTGTAGGTAAAGCTTTAAAAGTATTGGGTTTTATTAAACGCAATACTAGTCAGTTTTCTTCTGCTCGTTGTCTCTGCACATTATACTTCTCATTAGTACGTTCTATATTAGAATACGGTGTGGTAGTGTGGCATCCCTACCTTGCTAAAGACGAACTAAGACTCGAGCGTGTACAAAATAGATTTCTTTCCTACATTGCCTACATAATGAAGATACCTCACCCAATGCATGACTATTCATTAATTCGTAGTTCATTGGGTATACCAATGCTGTCAACTCGTCGACAAGATGCTGATGAGCGCTTTTTAACCTCGCTCCTAGGTGGCACCATAGATGCACCCGATCTCCTCTCTAAAATATGTTTCCGTATCCCTTCCTTCTTCTCCAGAAATCACGCACTCTTCCAAGTTCCGACTCACAATACATTATACGGACATAATCACCCCTTGCACAGAATGCTTCGTAATCTGAACAATCTTAATTTTGATTTTAATAAGTAATTAAATAATATCATTTATAAATATGTTGTATCATAGTTATACATTACTAAATTAAGGTATTACCACTTAGTTTATATTATGTTGTGTTTTTCCATATGTTCTAATTTGTGTGAATTTGTATTATATTATTGTTATATCTATTAATTTTAAACTTAATGTGTTAATTTAGAATTGCCGTTTGGCGTTTATATATTATAAAAATAAAAAATAAAAAAAATAAAATTTGAAAATGGCAGTGTGTATATAAAATAAAAATATATACCTACTTTAAAAGTTTCGAGTACCTACTCACGAATGATATTTATTTAATAATTTACCACAAAATAACAAAAATTGTTATTGGTTGAAGAATTTATATAATTTTTTAACTTTAAACGCTTATAAAAAAATATTGGAAGTATATATTTTTGATATTTTTTAATTGGTTTAAACAAGTTATGAGGAATCTTATATTACATTTTCAAAGTTTTCGACCAAGCAAAAAAAAAATTAATTGATAGGTATTTAAAGACAAAATCAACAAAAAAATTCTTCAAAATGAGTCGAACTATTTAAAACGTTTAGTGAAAATTCAAAAATTCAAAGTATCGACGGTTATTTGTTTTTGAATTAGTTACTAGGTACAAAAAAACCAAATCGATTTTGTCAAAAAGTGATTGTACGTTAAAAATTTATTTCATTAAAAATTATTTTTGTTTTTCCCGACATTATGAAAACTACTGGGAATTTTCCATTTTGACCTTAAATGTACCAACTAGTTCCAATTTTCTTCTATAAACCACCTCCAAATTTGAAAATCTAAGTATTTTTTCGACTAAATTTCGTGTTTACAGCCGTGGTGGCTTTCTACTCAAAAAAAAAACACACACACACACATTATTGTAAAATCTATCTAAAATAATAATTAATTAATGAATAATAAAAATAATCAGATAATGTAATCATGCATGTTAATCAATATTAATTTCCTCTAATACATATTTTAGATTTGTGCCTGCGTACACAGAATTTTAGTCTTTACAGAGACACGTTCATGAATATATACAAAAGTATAACTATTAACTGACAGCTGTATAAGCTAGATAACAACAATGAAGACTTGTACCAAAAATAATCTCACCTTTAGCGTATAACACTGTAAAAGTCCGTCTATAGTGCAACAGATGAACTTGTCAATACGGAGTATTACAGCCACAATCGCATGTGTCGTTTCGACTTTAAAGCCGCTCGTCGACGATTTAGAAAAAATGTAAAGCCGACCTGTTCTTGTGGCTACGAGGATCTTATAGTCGACGTCGTAAAGCCCAGTAGCAGACATATACGCAGTTTCACCCTGCAACTGTATGTACAGGTGCATGGAATATCAGTTTTCTGACCATTATATATTTATATTATAACTATATTATTTAAATTCAAAATGTTACGAAAAATATTTTGTAACTGATTGTGAGGCGAATCTGTTTTTTTTTTTTAGATAATACGACAAGAGCTGGTCGTATTTTGTTATATAGTTATTTTGTATTTATATATTATTATATTTCAATAGCTGATAATATTACACAGTAACATAAATACAGAAAACCCGTTAGAATAGTACCTACTAGGATATAAGATGCGTACATTATATTTTTTATACGAAATTTAAAAATATGTTACATAATATATACTATAGCATCTATATATGTATATTGTATTGTCAGGTGGCTCTGCTCAATAGCTTTCCTATATTTCTACCGTTAATGTTATGAATCTTATTAGCTATCAAAATTACTTCTGCCATACCTATTGAACAGATTGTAAATATATTTTCTTTTTCTTTAAAAAAAAAGCTTATATACCTAGGTAGGTAAACTACTTGACCGATTTTGAAGAAAATTTCAAATTGTATATTTCTCTTGAAGATTTCAGACAAGTTTAGAAAGTAGTTTCCGATTTACTACTGGCGAATTATCCATCTCGGTAAAATTAGTTCACAAAGCGTGGTACACCGTCAACGATTTGCCAGTGAGCTGAGGTAAACTAAAGCCAAGATATATCTATATTTTATATTTGTTAATTTTTTCACGGACAAAGTAGGGTTATACACTTATAGCTATAATAGTTATAATATTGTATAATATACCTGGATTTCGTCATACTATGTATAATCAATTCTATTACCTATACCCAACTAAATAATTACTCAGGGAAATTGCAAGGGAAAAAATGTTATTATATAACACAATTCTAAAATACATTTTGATAATAATATATTTTTTAAATAATATTACCTCATATTTATCAGGTAAAATTTTAAACGATTCAGTATCGAGTATGCTGATCATATCGGTGGTTGCTATTACCAGACAACTGACGCCGTGTACATCACTCATATTCTTTTTCAACTCCGTAACACATGTTATGGTGTGCTAAACATCATACATAGTATTATTTATCAACAACGAGCATCGGTGAAGAAGTTATTTTCGCTAGTCAGAAATCAATAATATAATAGGTGGGTACTTGCTTGTTTCACTAGATTAATTTTTCTGCACTTCTCAAAATATTCGTTGAGATGACACTCGTTTAAGCATAACATTTGCTGTGACGTTGTTGATAGACTCACGAATCCTATGGTCGACGATAATACTTGCAAACTTTTTAGCAGATCGAATGCATCTTCACTCTCTTGCCATAATTTAGATTCTTCGGTATCTCTTATTGTCGTCGACTGAATTGAATATTTATGATAGGGCTTACAATTTCGGTAAAAGTATATCTCGTTTTTTATCACTACAGCTACACCTGCAGCAGTAAATATTTCATTCATATATATAATAATATAATATAATATTTAAATAACATTATATTATTACAGTCTCAAGAGTGACAGTTCACAAAGTAGGTACATAAGTATATACCTAATAACTTTCCTAGCTATTTTATCATAAATAAAATGCTTTTTAGATTTACTTTCACTCCCAGTGGCGATCAATAATATTGACATGGAGGGGGCTGATTTTTTAACTTGCATTATTTTATCATTAAAAATATAATTAATGGTTATGTCTAATATCAATTTATAAAATTATAGTAAATACAAACTTTATTTATAACTTAAGTACCTATACGGACTTTATAAATATATTATAGTATTAACAATATTTTTATTATATTAGTAAATCTATTTTTTGTTTTTTTTTTTTCTAATTCATCCAGTAGTTCGTAGGATGTTATATTTATAACCCCACGACGAACACTGAACAGCCATAAGTAAAAATATTACCACTAAGTTCACAACTTGATTTTCTGTAACGATATTAGTGATCTTATCTTACTTATTTTTTTATCCGCTGAGCGTTTAGGAAATGAGCAACTTGTATCAAAACAGCTAGTAATTTTCCTTTTATTAGACATAGTAATTGTGAAAATGTAAAATAGACAAGATATTCAATATTGAAAAAGACACCGACCGTATAATAGTAATACACTTTAGTACACTACACGGACACACAGTAGAAAACACGAGTACGAAATAGTAAAGACGAATCATGATGTTAACTAAACAATTTGAGTTATGACAAATAATAAGCAATCGTTGTTTCAAGTTCAAGAGAGAATTCTCGATCATGGAGTGGGATAATTTCTATAATATTATATTTTGTGTACCTAAACATAAAAAAACTAAATATTAATTATAATAGTAATAATAATAATAGTTCCACCACTGATGAACATGGACGTACTAGTGTACTACGTACACGATCAATATTCGATATCAATATTATTGACCGTGTATAAGTTATATTGAAAATATCATAACTGTTTTGATATGTATTGACGGGTTTTTATTGATATTAATAATATTGTTCGTGTGCCGCTTTTGGTTACGTTACGAACACGTGTTACTGCTCGTGTACATTTCAATAATGGAGTCTCAGTAGTCTCACAATTGACTAAACGGGAGTCGGCGGACCAGGGTCGCATGTGGTAGTCGCTACTCGTTCATCAGTTTTAACATCGTCGACACGCGGCGTGCATCGGCGGCGGCAGTAGTCACTAGTCACTCGTTCAACAGCCATCACGATCACGGCATACGTTCCTGTTACATGTGTTCTATTCTTTCGCTTTAAAAAATTATTTTATGTAATGCGTTCCTATATTTTTTCTCATAATCTCACTCTCAAGTCAAACTGAGCCAAATCGTGACTTTTATTATTAAAACTACTCTTTTTGTCAATTTTATAAACATACAAATGAATATCTAAGTATCTAACTATAGTACTAGTTAAAATACTAGTTGGACTTCCTACTTCGGAGTACTCACATTACTTATTACTATATTTAGTAATACTATAACTATAACTATCCAGTGCGACGGTAGTGACGCGAAGCTAAGTAAAAAAAAAAAGCGAAGCGGTCACTACCGTAGTATATTACACGAGCCAGAGTTTGCCCATTGAATGTGTGTAAATTTGCCCGTTTTCTTTAGCCAGGGCTACAGACCTAATGAATGAACGGATTGGTCTGTTTGTGGTATCAATAGATCGGGCATGATTTGTAGATTATACCTTTGTCATTTTCGAAAAAAATGGTTGAATAATAACGAATATATTAGCAAAAAAGTCAAGTATTTTTGAAGCAAAAAGATATTGTGCTCGACCGTTTTTAGTTATTACGTTTCACGCAGCAGCGCACGAGACCTTTACTCTTTTCCGTATACGTTTTCGTCGCGGTCGTACACTGGGCAGCGGTTGCGACTTGTGGTTCCCGCCGTTGCCCGCGAAATCGCTTATCGTATTCGTTATTTCTGTTATCGACATTCATGTTTCTGGTGACGTTCGGTGTAGATGTATTCGCCGCCGCGCCGATAGAAAAACCACGTTTTATTTGTTGTCTCGTTTGTTACAGTGTTGTAGTAGGCAGTACTATATTATTTATTTATATTATAATTTGTGATTCTTTATTTCTAAAATGATTTCTAAGACATACAAACAGAAGTTACGAAAAAGGAGAAATTATTTAAAAAAAAAAAAACACTAATACAGTGTGTATGGATGAACGTTTAATAAAAAATTCGATCACCATAACCACGAAAAAAAATTTCTAAGAAATCAAAAAAAAATATTTCCATTTTATGGAAGTGTAGAAAAGTGGACTAATAAACTTATGCATAAATTAAATATGCCACTGTATAAGTCTAGAATTGTTATAAATAGGATTTTGAAATGGGTTTTTAAATTCAGAAAGCAAAACGTTGTTATTTATCAAAAGACATTTAAAAAACTAAAAAAAGGAATAAATAAGAACATTAACTATACAGCTAGTATTCCAGATATTAATGATGAACTAAACTACAATTTTCTTAAATTTATCTTAGGGCAATCTTATCATTCCAAGTATACAGAAACATTTTACACAGATAGTTTACAAGCCATTGAGTTCTATGAATAAAATTAAACTTGAAATAAATGAAAATGGTAAAATAATGAATTTATTTCAGCCATTTAACATAGAACTTGGGTATTGTAATGAGATGTTATGTAACTTAAATTATACATATGCTATTCCAAGAGTTATTAAAATAGTTAAGCATCTATTAAGTACACCAATAACTGATTTTCCCAACATAATTAAAAATATTGACTTGTACTAGCCAGGCACGACAGAACTATAAACTTGGGCACACTTTGTCTTGTTACATTGATTTTAACTGTTCTTCAATTTTATTATTTTTAAATAGTTTAGGACCTCATTATCCAAGTATTAGGAAAATTGTTTCATGTAAAAAAAAATCAAAAAAATATTTTAAAAATTAATAATGCTATTTATAATTTAAACATAAATATTTTAACTGAAATGGAAAAAAAATCAAAAAAATCAAGGAAAATGTTATTATTTATGTACTTTTGAATTTAGTAATGAAGATGAGATACTTGAAACGTATTCTCAGTCATTCGATTGTTATAATAAAAGAATATTAGATTTACCTATAAATATTTGCCTATCATGTCACAAAATGTGTTACAGACAGTATGTAACATGTCTTAATAAAATTAAAAAAATTCCTATTAATGAATATTGGAATAATCTTGTTGAATATGTTCAAGTAAATAATTTGCCAAATGAATATTTGTGTAACTACTGTTTGAAAATATTTCGAACAAATTGTTTACCTCCGACTTGTATACTTAATAGTTTACATTCTCGAGATACACCCCATGTACTTTCTAATTTAAATGACTATGAAACAATTTTAATACAACGAGCTAAAGTGTTTCAAGGTGTTATGAAAATAATATAAAACATTACATATTACATGCCAGTACATAAAAATATGTTATAAAAAAACTACTGATATCCCAACAAAAACACATCGTTGAACTCCGTGTAAAAAATTGCTAAGTAAAAAAAAACTAGTCATCTATAAAACTTCAGCATTATAAATATGTGATATCATAAATTAATGCTAAGTTAACTTAAACTTAAAAAAAAAAAAAATAGTAATTTATAATACTTAAACATTATAAAGATGTGATATCAAGAATAAATGCTAAGTAAATTAAATTTTAAATTAATTGATTCTATCTCAATCATTTATTTACTTGGCTAGAATTTATATATTTCGACAAATAAACATGTCTATTCATAACTGGACTATTTAACAAATTTCCATGACAAATGTTACTAAATTTGTTTTATAAAAAAGTCTTAATTATTAATTTATAAAGAAAATAAATTCTCGCCAAGTAAATAAATGATTGAGATAGAATCAATTAATTTAAAATTTAATTTACTTAGCATTTATTCTTGATATCACATCTTTATAATGTTTAAGTATTATAAATTACTAGTTTTTAGATTCTGAGCGGAGCAAGGAAGCTAGTGGTTTTACAATGGTGTTTATTTTTTTATTTTTTTATTTTTTTTATATCCTGTATACAAAATTTCTACCAGAAGGAGTGCTTTGATTTCAACATATAGTACCTTATCTTTTAGCAAATTGGACCAAGATGGTACTTTAGACAGGTCATTTTTCGATTTTCTCAATAGTTATTTAATGCCACGGGAAAAAGTACTGAAAAATTACGAAAAACCGCTTAAAATGGGATTTTAATTTCTAACAATTTGTTTATCACCGTAGCAACGAATAAAAAAAAAATAAGTAGGTATTAATGGTATTATACTATTATCTATATAAATATGAATATCATAAATTATTAACATGTATCATTAACTTATGAGTCAGTAGTCAGTACCTACTTATCATAGAACCGCGGGTGATTAGGTTCATGGTAGGAAATAGTATAAAATTAAAATTTGTTATGTTTATTTTTTTTTTGTCTACGAATGTCAATAAAATTGTTTATATAATTTCAATAAATTGTTACAATAATAGTTATAAACCAGGAATAACGATTTTAATTATTTTGTTGTAGTTTATAGTATTAAAACAACTTACATGTTATAATAATTCATGACAATATAAAATATACAGACTGACAAACCGCCTCCGTTCAGAATCGTTTTTCTTATACAATGATATTATATCATTGAATTCAAGTTTAATACAATCCATTAAACAATGACCAACTTGTAACCTACTGTACAGCTGAGCGACATCCACTTACCTGCCTTTTTTTTAAGTTTAAGTTAACTTAGCATTAATTTATGATATCACATATTTTATTATATTTATAATGCTGAAGTTTTATAGATGACTAGTTTTTTTTTACTTAGCAATTTTTTACACGGAGTTCAACGATGTGTTTTTGTTGGGATATATTATTATATTTACTATATTATATTATTAACGAGTCATATTAAATCATCATTCAACTTATAAAAATACATTATATACGATTATATTATACAACACGTCAAATACATATAATTGTTTGTATAATATTATTGTTCACTAGTCGTTACTGTTGTAGCCTGTAGGTATATTATGATATAATATTATTAATATTAGGATGATTTCATGAGAATATTCTTGAGCAGTGCTGCCCGAGATTTTTCGAGGCCCTGCGTGTAGGATCATCCCCCATGAATTTTTTTCCAATATTTATAACAATTTATAATTAAGTATATTCCATAATATGCATTAAATGCTGTTCTATATTTTTCTAAAAACAAATTATCAACTATTGTAAATTTCGACAGAATGTCAGAATAATATGTTTATACGTGTTTATAACTATATTATTATCTATACTCATATCTCTGAACTAGGATATTATTATTATAATTAATATTTAGTTTTTAGATTCTGAGTGAAACGATGAATGAATTGATTTTAAAATGATGTGTGTTTTTTTTTTAATATTTTAATTTTTAATTAATAATTTTTTAAATTTTTGTGTCTGTGTACACGATAAGTAGTCAAAATAATGCTTCGATTTTCAACTTCAGTATCTTGTTCGATTGGAAAGTGAATATCGTTGGTGCATTGTGAAAAATTAAGGAAAAACGGGAATTTTTTCACAAAATCTGTTTTCGAGAAAATCGATTATGGTTTTTGATGTAACTTAAAAACAAATGATCGTTGTTTATATTTGCATTTTCTATACACGATAACATTTTCAAAATATTTTGAACTGTTTAGAGACATTTTCATTTTCCATTTTTTTTTGTTTTTTTTTTAAAAAAAATATCAATAAAATTGTATTCGTTGGTTAAAAAAGCTTGAAAATTTAATAGAAGGCTCTTAGTATATTGTTTCAAAGGCAAATGAAAAATATTAAAAATACATAGGCACAATTTTTTTTTATAATTATTTAAAGATCGAGTTTTGACGAAATTTATCAAATTTAAAATTGAATAATTATTTTGTAGTTGAAAATGTATAAAATGTTCAACTTTTTTATCTAAGGATTGAAAATTTAAAACAAAATTCCACGTAAGTAGTTAATTTTGTTACCCAAAAATCTAAAAAATACATACTCACAGTTTATTTTTATAGTCATTTTAAGTTCAAATTTGGACGAAATTACATATTAAAAAACCTAGAATAACTACTCGTATTTTAGTTATTTTGTTGTGATTGTATAATATTATTCGTGGATACTTTAAACTTCTAAAGTATACTACTATATATCTATGATAGTATTGATGTATAACGCGTAATAAGTACCTAATGGATATTGTGATATGATTAATTTGGAATTTAGTATAGGTACCTGTTATAGGTCATTTTTTTTTTAATACCATAGATATGTATATAATATGTCTTATACCTAGACTGACATACCGTCTCCCCTCAATAATATCATTAAATACACTTAGTAATATCATAGGCGACTAACCGTCTCCCCTCAGAATCGTTTTTCTTATACAACGATATTATACCATTCAATTCAAATTTAATACCATCCACTATATACAGTGACCCACTTGTAACCTACTGTACAGCAGATCAAATTTTTTTTATGTTTACACAGAATATAATATGGATTTATCCCACTCGATGATCAAGAATTCTCAATAACAATCATATCTACACTTTCCCAGAGCATTGGCCCATTCGTTCAATAGTGCGATCGGTATTTACATTTTACAATATTACGTAGCTCCAGCCCCAGGTCATTGGTTGGTTGAAAACTTGAATCATCGATTGCTTATTATTTGTTATAATTCAATAACTTATAATATTTAATTATCACCGTTATTCGTCTTTATTCTTTCGTACTCGTATTTTCTACTGTGTGTCCGTATAATGTATTAATGTGTATTACTATTCTACGGTAGTACTGTCGGTGTCTTTTGTAATATTGACTATTTTGTCTATTTTACATTTTCACAATTACTATGTCTTATAAAAGGAAAATTACTGCTATTTTGATGCAAGTTGCTCTACTTCTAAACGCCCATCATATTCATAATATCATATTAAAATGTTGACAAAATTCGTCAAATTAAAAATTTCTTAATTATATTGTAGTTAAAAATTTATAAAATGTTTAACTTTTATATCTAAAGATTGAAAATGTACAACAAGGTTCCACGTAAATAGGTTGTATATAAATTACTTAATTCACAATAATATCATCAAATACACTTAGTAATATCATAGGCGACTAACCGTCTTCGCTCAGAATCGTTTTTCTTATACAATGGTTTTATGATATGATTGAATTCAAATTGAACACCATTACAGTGGCCCACTTATAACAATATAACCTACTGTACACCACAAAGACACCCACTTTCTGATCTTTTTTATCATATTTTTGAAACAGTTAAAAAATAATATTGCTATTGTATTCAGTGAAAATTTACCAAGTTAAAAATATTAAGCTTTTGCTTCTCTAAGAATAATAGTCATGTTAGCAGACACGAATCACATATCTTAATTTATCTCTCGAATTTTTTTTTATGACAATCTATACCTATTTTGGCGAAAACGACGGAGATACTAAGGGTAACTTTTTGAACATACTACATAACAGAAATGAGTGTTTTTTTTTACTCAACAGACTCAAACAATTCGTAGCTTAAATATTATATAATTACCAGTTGAGAAATTTACCATAAACCACAATGTTGATATATTAAATATTCTTTAGATTAAATTGTATATCTACTGAATAGAATATAATATTAGTACGTAATGTATGTATATTATATTATCACTTTTAATTTAAATTAAAAACATTACTTGACGAGTCTTGCCTCAAAAATGCACAAAACCAATACAAGTTCGTGCACATAAATGGCTGTTTAACATTTATTTGTAAATTAAGTAAGGTAACTTCAAATTTACTAAATAGTAAATTAATAACCTTACCAACAAACTACGCTGTAGGTACCTACACTGATGTATACCTAAGAATATAATACATTTATCTATAACTTAAGGAATCTATACGTTTAATTTTCAAAATATAAATTAATTCATAACAGCCGAATAGTTTTTGTATAATATGTTGAATTAAAGTATTTTTTGTTCAATATATATGCATATAATTATAGCCCATATAGGTACAACATGTAAGTAAAATTATATTATTATATATTTATATTATATTAATATGTGCTTGATTTGTTATTATATTTTACATTACAAATTATCAAATACTATTCTCTATTAGGTATGTACTTATATCTTATGAAAATTTTATAGTTTATTGAAAACCATATAGGTGTATATGCCTTTGATTCTTAAATTTTTGTTGACTTACATGGTATGTGTTGTTCACTGTTATCCGTGTATACGGTTGTAATAGCCGACGGTTTTTCGTTCAAATATATCACGTGCGTTTGTTTCAACCCTTTGAATATCTAAAAAAATTCAAAACAAAAAATTTAGAACACAAATGTATAGGTAGAAATAAAAGAAATACTATAAATACTATATTAATACTATATTTGTTGTACATTTTATATAAATATAATACTGTGAAATGTTTAATACTTTTAACTGAGGGCTGGACGTTCCCGAACCGAAATCTACGACCACAAATTTATTATCGTTGTCGCCGTGGACATCGGACAACATCATACAGCAGTTGTAAGTTTGAAGATTGATCGGTGGGTTAATGTCTACGTCTATCCACGTAGAGTTCCTGTAAAACGATGGTACATTTAACGTCAATACTAATAATTGCGATAGAGTAGCGATTAATAAATAATATTATATTGCGAAGAATAGTAGACTCGTTTACATTTTAAATTATTTTCCACACGAAAACAACAGTCGTAACAATCGTAACGTTACTATAAACTACGCTCATGAACATTTATTAATTTGTGCACTTATTATACTGCAGTGTTTTTATACACTCGTCGTATTTGTGACGATATTGCATTGTATACAGTAGGTATCCTTTTGTTTCAGAACTTTTCGGTGTGTTGTACCTACGGTCAGTCGCCTAGCAACAATCTATTCGTTCTAGTGCCGTTTACCTTCTATGAATTGAAACTGTTGTACCTATATAGGTTAGCCCAGAGGTCTCCAATCGTTTTTTTATGGCGGGCCAAAACTGTGATACGCTTTGGCATCGGGGGACAACATTTTTAGAGGAATAGATCGATTAAGAAATTGAAGAATAGATACGATTTATTTAGAACAATTAATTCTTGTTTGTATACTTTTTTTATTTTATAACGAGTTTTTCTATTATTAGTTAGTATTAGTAATTAGTATAATATATAATGTATAAATTACTATTATAAGCTGTTACGAATAACACCGAAAGATAAAACGAATAAATAAATAAATGTTATTTAATTAATTCAATAAATTAAAAACAATGGAAACTAAATGAAAATATTATATATATTATAATATATTATTTTCAAAACATTAATTATCTTAGCCGGCCAGTGAAAAATCATTGGTGGGCCGTAGGTTGGAGACCCCCTGGGTTAGACGTATAATTTCATACACAAATATTATTAATTCTCTTATTTTCAATGACAAACGATAGGTGAACTGAGATCTAAATCAGGAACTGAAAATTTGAATGGTACACAAACGGCTTGAGATTGTGAAATGAAAATTATCAACTGGCTTTTAAAAATTAAATGTCCATAGGTGGAGCTTAATGCTTAACAACTTTACAAACAAAATTGAAAGAAGGCTACGGAACTACGCGTAGTACGTTTAGGTTAAAAACATATTCATGATCATCATTCATCTTTACTTTAAAAAAAGGCTGAAGTCCCCATGTTCGATACCATATTTAATTTAATAATAAAAGCAATAAATTGTGAACGTAATATTGAGATAAAGTCGAATATCGGGTCGGGTTATCTTCAGTTTACGGTCTGCCTTCGTTGTAAACTCACTGTCGAGTAAATAAGCCGTCCAGTTATTAAAGTTGTAAAATTATGTTAAATTAAATTTTTTAAATAAAAAACCAACAAAATTAAATAAGGCATTCAGTGTACGAATTATTAAAAAATGAAAAAATCATTTTTTTTTAACACCAATATTCCCACAAGGCGCCGATTCACCCCAGGTGTTTGTATGCTATACTAAAATGAGTGTGAAAAATATTGAACCTCAGTCCTCACACACGCGCAGCTATAATAATATATGCGTACCTCTTTATAACAATAGTGAGCGAATACCGCACAAATAATGCACTTGAAGTTTTTAATAACAATTTAAGTCTTTTTTTTTATACACATCATCGGTATTTTCGTTTCGTATGTAGGTATCTATTGATAAATATTTGAAATGACCCAAAAATGTTCGCACCGACACCTCGACAAATAATTTTATAATTTTTATATTTAGCTAACCATTTACACTCATCAGTTGGATGACGCATCATAAGCCTGTAGACCTGATCGATAACAGCCGACATAATATACCTAAGTACGCCTTATAATAATCTCTATGACTCTATATGCACGCGGACGAAAAACAAACATCCGTCGGAGTGAAAAATAGTAATAAGTATCATCCTCACTGTCTACCTATGTATGCATATTGTACCGCGGGCTCTATACGTGCATATAATATTATTATCTTGTAATAAGGTCGTAATAGCGCGTATGAGAAAACAAATAATAGTGTATGCTTACCACTGTCTAAAATCGTATTATCTCTGCAGTTGGGTGATATAATGTCGACATGTCGTTGTAATATTACCACGAGATAATCATAATAATTGAGAGCTCTGTGCCGACGCAACCGATTGCATAGGTGTAGGTAGTTACCATCGCTCAAGTACATCCGTAAATATTGATATCGTACGGATACGTCAAAACATTTAAGTTCCAAGTAGTTCGCAGCAGTACGCGCCCCCAACTGGTTCGAATAGAATATTATTTCAAAGTTACCTGAATAATTATATTACAATATATTTCCGTAATACGTGGCTTTTCGTTTATACCTAATCGTAAGATCAGTCTATACACGAACGCATTTCTGCAGGTAATAATAAATATAATAATATAATGTATTAAGTAATAGCCAGTAGGTATATAGGTATAGTTTGGCCCAGTTTGTGAGTTAATAGAAACATAATCAAATCTTATTCGTAGGTGAATCTTGATGGTTTAGTGTAAAAGTATAATCAAAATAAAATTCAAACAAATATGATTGCTTTTTCACTAGAATCTATATTATATTATTACGTTATATATTATATATTATCATCTCGAATAACAGAGGGGGGGGTCTTGCCAGTTATCAGACATTTATTAGTTTTTATTTTTTTTATTAGGAAAGAAAATAGCTTAAGTTTTAACTTAAGAAACAATGCATGACAATCAATACCCAATTGGCTAAGTAGGTATATAATATGTTGTTTTGTTAAAATGCACTAGGAAAATATTTCTCAGTTTATAAACCACTGAAGAAAGGTTGTTATTAAAATAGTTGTTGGATTTCAGTGGTATAATATATTTATATAAAATTGTATAGCGACTACCATAGATTAAAAGCGAAAATAATATATGCAAACAATTGTTAACTAGTCACTTACACGGTTCATTTAATTCCCTATATTTGTTCAATATTGTGCCTATAAACGTTGTCATATTTGTCGCAATATACAATATGGTAACACGGATATAGACCAAAACAGCAACGACTAAAAACAGATATTAAGCATAAAATAGCTAAAATACTTTAATACATAATATAGTAAACGTTCGTAACGTTTCGTAACGTAAATTTATTATTGCGCCTATTTCTTAGGTAGGTGCTAGTTAAAATGACTATAATCATTATTAAAATACATAAATTATTAATAAAACTAATAATAAGTTATAAGTTATTGTAAATGTAAAGATGGAACGCAGTAATGTATCATGTATGATTTTAATAACAGTAATAAGTCAAAGAACAGTACCCATAATTTATGACCAAAAATATATTTTAGACTTTGTTTCTTATTAGTGGGTTGTTTTTAATAATACCGAAGAGTTTTTTTTTTATTAAGCCGCAACGACAAAGGTTATTGGCATAATACCGAAGAGTATATGATAAAAAATATAGCTTTTGTAAATAATTGATTGCACGTGAAGAGTTCTAAATATTGTGGAGAATCATAGTAATAGTGTAATATAATGTACCTATAATTAAAAACATTGGCATACCTGTGACATTTGTTCGGGGGGGGGGATGCCCTTGTTTCCACACCCCCTCAAATAAGGCACTGGTTCAAAATGTACCGAATTCTAAAACGTTATAAGATAAAAAAAAACACTCAAATCATGAAAAAAAAAAAAATAATAGGGAACAATAAGAGTGCAACAAGTTTTTTGGTCTTTCGAACAGTGAACAATATCATTTTATTATATTCAGTGAATTTTCAGGGAACCGTCATTTCGAGCATCGTTGATTAACGCATTATCATCATTTTTCGTCCGGACAAAAGTCGGCCGCCATGAAAGCCGGCGGCGGAACGATGGTCCGGTTGACGCTGAGCGGCGGCGCGTTGGTCGCGTCCACCGCGGCGGCGTGCTGTTTCCTGGCCGTGTGGTCGTACTGGTACTACGAGCTGGACGCCGACTGCGTGCAGGCGCGCGACTGCAAGTGCCTGCTGTTCGGCACGAGCTTCGCGGGCGGCGGTTTCGTTGGTGGCGACCGGTTCGCGTGTCAGTACGTCGCGTACTCGCTGATGGCGTCCGCCGGGCTCGCTGCCTACACGAGCGTATACTACGGCTGCAGGTTGCTACTGTGCGCGGGCCACGGCCGAGGCCGGCGCCAGCACCACCGGCCCGTCAGGACAGTGGCCGAGACCAGACCTGAGGACGGCACCAGCGGCTGCACCAGGTACCCTATAGTCTGTACATCAATAGTTGTTATGAATTATTGATTTATAATTTCGATTTAGTATTATTATTAAACTCGTGAGGACGCGGCACCCACATGTGTTGTGTCCGTCTTACGCACGGAAGGAATAGAACATTTTCCTTAGCCTGTTTCATCAATAGCGTGCTGTTAGTTTTGATATTAGAGCGAGTTTCATGTATTACCAGACTTTTAGGCAACACTATTATCTGTGGTCTCTCGTTGGTTTTTTACGATATTTTAATTTTTAAATGAATTATCAGCAATTTCAAATATTATTAGGTAGCTACTACTAATTTTTTTTTTTTTGAAAAACCATAAAGATAAAATCGTTCTTTTACAACGCCATTCGTGTTATTCTTGATATTAAAGACAATACAAATACAAAGTTTCAAGATTTTTGGTCGATTATTTAATAATGTTATAGATATTAATCAATCCTTTATGTTAGTCAACTTACCACACTTTCCCCTACCTACACATATTTTTTTTTTGTTTTGTTAACTTGATATAGAATATAGATTATATATATTATCTAAGAATTATTCAAAATGTAAATTTAGTTAATTTAATTTTTTGATTTAACTGAATTAAAAAAATATTATTTATTTGCCAGACCTGGACCGACTGCAGTACGCTTGAGTCGAAAAATAATAGAAGCGCGAGACTCAATCGAAGAAATAATTAGATTTAAAGGGAAAATAATTATTTTATCACTTTCTATCGGCCACGGCCCACACGCAGTCACGCCCCTCTGAATCCAAATGTTTTAGTCCACAGATACAGATAAATGGCTTAACGATTTGTCTTGCAATTATTCTCGCTGTCATGGCGTTAAATATGTTTATTGCTTCGATCGTACTGAGCAACGGATATATATCGACCTGTCTGCAGTACGTGCATCGAGTGAAAAGTTATTTGATGGTACTTAATATTTTAAATTTATATTTTTTATTGTATATGTAGGTCAGTGCTCGAATTGGGAAAAATTAAGTAGAGGAGATCAAAACCAACGATTTAAAAACTGCGTTCAAACTTCCAAGGGCTCAATCATTCAAAACAGACCCTGGGGCTTTTTCCCCCACACCCCACCCACATTCCTACCTTACATACATTTTGAATACCACTTTTCAGCAACACATTTTGAATTTCAAAGAGGTATTATATTTTCATAGCAATACTAAATCTTACATTGTTACAGTAGAAAAAAAAATTATAATAATATCACAGAATCACTTCAATCACTATTCTGTGATAATATACCTCATTATTCAATATTTGATATAAAGTATAGTAGAACTCGTTATATAATTTACATCAATTTTATTGAAATCCATATTTTAATACAAATTATTTCGGGGATTAGTTTGTACCGTCCAAGTAAAAAAAAAATAGAAGTGGTACGCAAAAAAAAAATAGTAGGGGAACTCCGTCTCCCTGCACCCCCGCTCCAAATTTGAGCTCTGATGTAGGTTATTAGTTTGTACCACGAACTACTTCATAGGACTGGACACTGTATAAAATAAAGTGGCTACAAAGTTGTGCGGTGGTCGTACGTTCGCTACGTAACTGCTCTCTAGTGGCATTATTTTATACTGTACTGTTGTAAATTCTTTCATGTGATAATTCGTACAGTCGTAGTGACTAATAGTCACTATATACTATATAGTAATAACTGAACAAGAATCAAAAATTAAAAAATTAAAATCAATGACAATCTTTTTATATTTCATATTCACTATTAAGTATTATCTCCAAAAAAAAAAAAAATGCGTATTACAACGTTGCAACCAATTTAGAAAGTTTTTTTTTTTGAGTGATTTTTGGCTTGCTTTTGGTAGGATATACGTGAATGTTGTGTCATTCTCATAGTAACATAATAAGTAATTTTAAACAAAAAAAATTAATTTTTGTGATTAGCACATGGAATTCAAGTAAATGTTGGTTGTTTTCAAAGAAAAAATCTCACCACTAAAATGTGTATGACATAAGTACGATTGTATGAAACATTTCGGTAATACTTATTACCATAACAATTGTTAACAATATTTGTCCTCGATTTACGGATAGATTCTTCTTTTGGCGATGAGAATAAAGTAGTATTTTCGTTATTACTTTTATTCAATCTACTGCCGCATATTATTAATACTGAACATAAGCGACCCATATTAAATAATGTGAAGTATAATAATATAAAAAGATACAACAGACTCATTATAGAAATTGAAATAGAAATTAAACAAAATTTAAATAATATTCATGAAGTTAATCGATTTGTTTTTATTTTTTTTTTCATATTTCATAAGTCTATATTATAATATAAATATTACGTTCATAATAGTTATATAGGTACGAAAATATGCAGTAAATCTAGAACGTCACTAGGTAGCATCACAGTCGCAAATGTACATTGTACATACCCGTACAACTTTATGACCGGTGTCCCACCCTCCCCCTGCCAAGAGTGTCCAGTCCTATGTATAGTATTTCGTGGTTTGTACCCAACTATAGTTGTTATGAGGAGATTATATAGCGGTAAGCGTTAGAAATGTTTGATAACTGAGAAATTAGGACTGTCTGTTTGCTAATTGCTAAACAATGAAGTAAAGTGTAAACGTTTAGCGAACATTGCAAACTCCATGATCCAGCGTTTTGTCTCATCAGTTATTCAGTTCCAATAACCAATACCTACCGGCTACCCTGATTGAGTTTGTTCATTCTTTTTCGGCTTTCCGCTTTCCGCTTTTCAACGCAAGTGTCACGACTCACGAGCCCTCTAGTTATTTATTATAATCAATACTTAACTTTCCTTACTTTTCTATGATTTTAACTAAAGTTTATTAATTAAAATTACCTATATTTATTTAATTTAAAATTTTAACTCTTACCTATAATGTCATCTCGAACTACATACCTACCTTGGTTAATTTACACACCTCACCAAGCACTTACGAATTTCAACCTTTTCAAATGTACTCAAAACATTTTCCGCTATAGAATTTCCTCATTAGTTTATCAATCGGTAGGTAACTGTTTTTTCATCTATTTATAGGTTTCCGGAAACATGGTAGAATTGATAACAAATCGTATGTCTTGTGGGACCATTTACGATTTCATGGACTACTTACAACCGCCATCGCGACAGGTGACATATGAACTGATCCATCGACACAAGACCAATCCACGCGATTCTGTGATTAATACATCGGCACTTTTAATTATATCTATTGTACTGTCGTGGTTGAACACATTTATATGGATTGTATTTACGTTTTGTACTTATTATTTCAGATGAATAGGGTACCTATGAATTAAGGAATGTTAAACATTTAATTAATTGTTGAATACAAATTGGATTTGTGTGTAGGTAACATGTTTATCATTGGTAATACCTACCTTACTAGCTGTGTCATGAATAATCAATTGTTTGTGCAAAAAATTAAACTACAAATCCAACTAAATATATTTTATCATATTTTATTAATTTTATTATTGTTACCTACTACCTATACAAAGTATTATAGTAGCCGAGAGCAATTTTTAATTTAACTTAGGTACCTAAATATGTTGGTCAACATCTGCTCCTATTCCTATTTTATAATAGTATTTTTTAAATATTTTTTTGTCATATTCACCCAACTTAAAAGGTCTCAATTATAATAAAGTAGGTATTGAATTCGAATTGATTTATCTTCTGAACATTTTTGAAAACAGACACTCAACAATTCAATAAACAACATCAATCGACAATCTACGAAAGTTCAGTGGCGTAATTTGAAGGGGAGGAAGGTGGGAATTTACCCCTGTGTGATTGTAACATCAGTCTAATGGTTGGGCCGGTAATAAATTGGTAAAATAACTTAACGATCATTTTTATAATTTTGAGGAAATATAATATTGTATAAGCATTAGACAATTTTGTCACTATAATAATTAAAATTTTTAGTTTTTTTTTATTAATATATATTATATAAGCTGCAGATGTTATAGAAATGTTAAATTAAAAATTCTATAAAAAAAACAGGGTCAATCTTAAATGTATCCATGATTTCGAAAAAACCCTTTATAATTTATATAGGTTACTTATTCAAAATCAATTTTTCAATTACCTACTTTTTAGCAGACGCATTTCATGTTGCAATTTACCTAATTTATTCGACCCCTCCCCCCTATATAAAAATATAAAATTACGCAACTGAGGGTGGTAGGTTCCATAATTATTTAGCTCATCCACGTATTTTTTGCAATAATATTTTGTCTCAAACACGTATAAAGTTACCTATGTCAGATGGCATCGAGATAAAAATTTGAAATAGATATTAGCTTGCTATCGTTTTCTCTGTTTTTTTTTCGGTTCAGCTAGTTAAAGGCTGGTTAAAACTTTTAGGCCTCCTATTAAAAACTGAAATTACGACACTCAAAAGTAGGTAGGTACCTACGCAACATCATGGACATGTAAATAGGAAAATAGTACATACAAATTCTAAATCAGTGTTTGGAAAGTTCCTTATAAAAAGGAATTCGTTTAATTACACTATACATCTTTAATTTTTAATTATAATATATACCTAGTATACAGGTAGGTATATATTTTATAATTCTATTTTGAGAATTTCTTAAAAATTAAATTGTTGGCCGACTTATGTCGAATGTATATCGTTTATTGTTATAAATAATTTAAATAATTATATTTTGTATAGGTAGGTAGGTACTTACTAATTTCTGTATAAATAATAAATATTATAACTTATAACTTATGAGAAATATTAATAAAGTAACTAATGACTAATGAGTAACGATTAACGTTGATACTCGATAACGATCACTAATTGGCAATATGCATTAAACTCATTAAAAAAATATACCTTAATTTCAATTATTTACATATCTGTGTAAATTATTTGAACTAGAAAGTTGTTATTTTTCCTTGATAAAAATGACTCGTTTATTTTCTTGTTCTTTTTTTTTATAAAAAGGAATTCGTTCAACGTGCAGTTCTTTAAAAAGTAATTCGTTCCAGGAATCCATTTCTTTTGGAACTCGTTCCTTCCAAACACTGTTATAAATAATAGACCTAATGATAGTTTTTAAAATGTACAATTTAAAAATGTTATTACTTACAATATAACTTAAAATTATTTCGTTGCTAAGCCATGTAATCTTATAAACCCCAAACTTAATATATTATTTATCTATACACCCTTCAATTAATAATAATATATTAAAAATAATAATAATATAATCAATAATATTGTATATTTTAAATGTTATGAAGATTGTCGAGTAGTTTCGGATGAGATAACAATAACAAATTGCATCGAACTGGCGGGCGGATAGAAGAGCTACGCTTCCCTTGGCGTAAAATAAATATAAATAAACATATAAAATTTATTTATTTGTTCTCTAAATACTCAAAAACTACTTCCTCTTCAGTAAAAGTTATAATATCAATAAATTCCTATTAAGACTATAAAGGCGGGTGAATGAGTGATAGCTTATTTGTTTGACCCCTATAGGTTGCTATAGTTTGGCTCAAGAAAATTGAACATTATTTTGTTTATTTAAAATTTAAATGGTTGTCATTAGTAGTTATAGACTATATTACTATTATACTTAAGACTTTACAGATATGTAGCATATAAAATTGTTTAAAAGTATATTAAAAAAAAAACAAATAATAAAATCAAATACGTACTTATGAACACAATTTGTAATTAATATTACAATGATAACTTTTGTGATAACTCTCAGGACAAATTTTTCTATATAAGCACATATAGACAAATATCAATATTATCGATGTTGTATTTACATCGGCTTTTAAGCATTCGTTGACTCTGTCTTCAATGTGTTTTGTTTATTTGAAAATTATATCCAGAATTAAGAAGTGGACAGTTATAACTTATAAAACGAATCATTGTAATTGTATTTACATTATATATTTCAACTGAAAACTATAGAAAGATAGATTAGTTTTAACCCGAGTGAAGTTGAGTAATATCGTGTAATAACAGCTATATTGTATAAAAAACATTATAATCTGGTTATTCGATACCAACCGATTTTAAGGAGTTATATATAGGCAATTTTCTGTGCAGTGTTCTGGAACGGAATGTCACAAGTGTCAAAATATTTATGTAAAATTAGTTTAAGAAATAATTAATTATAATATAAAATATTCAAGCATTTATTAATATTCTTGTTATTTTGGGAAAATGTTGCGGATCAATAATCATACAGCTTCACTAATTTATTATTATTGTCAACCATCGAAAAATAATAATAAAATATTTTAGAATTTGACTATTACTTTGCTTTGCTGTACTGTTGGTGTTTAGACTCTAGAGGTGTCGCTGTAACAGATGTGTTAAATTATAAATCAATTATATAAAATCTTTGTACACAAAAAACGATTCTGACCGAAGACGGTTCATATTACTACGGATATTTTATGGTATTATACTGGTAGCTATTAAAGCAATTTATTTTACTATTAGACATTAGTAATATAGTAGGTTGTATTAATTTTTGCTAAAAAATTTAAAACATCATTACAATATACTTACAACTAAACAATAAACTTTAAAAGTTTCAGTACCCACAAATAATATTTTTTAAATTGCAACAAAATAACTAAAATTGCTATCTTTGTTTGGATATATATAAAAAAACAGTGTTAATATATTTTTTAGATTTTTTGATTGAAATATGATCTACTTATGAGAAACCTTATTTTAAATTTTCAATCCTCAGCTATAACAATTGAACGTTTTATAAATTTTTAATTAACGAATACATTTCCAAATAAGTCTATTCAAAAAAACATAAGTTAGGTTAAATCCAATATAATAGTGTAAGATATAAAATAGGTACCTGTGTGTTTATTGTCTATTTTATATTATAGTATCTAAAACTCAGAAAATACAAGAAATTCACTTCGCCATGTATTTTGTGTATTTTAAATATTGTACATATTTTTTATTAATACTAAAACTAATACAAGCACAACATTAATTAAAGTGAGTTAAATTTAAAATTAGTAACAAATTTTAAGACTTATTAGATACATATTTTGATTATAGGCAAGTGAACTGATAAATTCTTATTTTTTAATAAATTTAAATAATTATAAATATTCATTTTTAAAATAATTTACACGACTCATAAAAACGTTGAGTTAATTTTTGCCATACAAATTATATTGATCATAGTTATATCTTAATAATTTAATATGTTACTTTTGATTGTTCTTCGTTAATATCTGGCACTTCCAAGTGAAATTTTAATTGACAAAACTTTTCTAGCACAGCAATACCTTGAAAATAAAATTATTATCGTATTATTTTTATACTTTTAATACTTTTGAAATAAATTCATATATTTATCTAATTTTTAACAATAGTTTTTACCTTCTCCTCTGTTGTTACTATATTTGCATTCCCATGCATCAAAAAGCATATTGTAATATCTGGAGCCATCAAAGTATTGATGATATTTAAAAGATGTGGTGGTTGGAAATACTTTTTGAAATCTAAAATCGTAAAAATCTTGGTAGTGAGTTGTTGTCATATTAAGTTATACATGTAGAAAATATATATTTTAATGAAACACATACGATCCAATTTGTGTAAGTTCATCTTCATATACAATAAGATGCCGAATATCATCTGGTAATAGATCATTTAATATGCTATCAACATACTACAAAAAAAAATTGAAAGTTTACAATAATCAATACTTTTAATAAATTTTAGTTAATAATTTAGTACTTCTATTCTGGATTCAACATTTTTATAATATTCTTGTTTTTCTTTTTCTCTAGCAGATAAATTGAATGTATATAATCTTTTATCATAACATAGTGGTGATTTGACTCCTAACATTTTGAGTAAAGTATTCTACAAAAATATTTTAATTAGAAAAAAAAATATAAAAAAATGTAGGTTCTTGAAATTAGTTAAATAAAACTTATATTTGTATAAGCTATTATATAACTCACATGTGTACTACGAGACATTTTGTTTGGGATATGATAACCAACCATATTCATTAGGTCTTTGACTAATGGTCCTTTGACAGCCAAGTCAAGAGGAGAAGATGAATGTAATGAAGGAGATATATTTACCTAATATTGTGCAATAATACCATTCAACAATTCAATTTTACAAACATTTCATTTTAACTTTACCTCTAATATCCAAGGTTTAAGATATTCATCAAACAAGACATCTATTCCAAATAACTCGTATGCGTTATATCTATTGCTCAGATTTGAACTACACATTTGACTTATAGATGATTCACCACTAATGACAGTTTTTACAACTAGATCTTCTAAGCTTGCCCACAATTTTTTTACGTCAATCTTGCGTTCTTTCTCCATATACGTCCATAATGATCGTAATGACCTAAGATATTGTAATCAATCAATAATCATTACATTTTTTTAAACACAAAACCTAACATTAAATCTAAAATAAATACATTAAATACAATATATTTACCATTTATGACCTTGACATGCATCCGCATCTTCATTTTCAGTAAACTGACTACTAAGTCTGTTAATACTGTAGTTTGTCAAATGCATATATCGATCACATATAGTGGTAAGATCAGATGAATACTTAACTGAAATATTATTAATAAATAAGTGATAATTTCAATTTCATATAACATAAATATATATATTATACCTGAAGCAAATCGTACAAGACCATTATCATAAAGATATATACGAAGTGGATTTATTGAAGTAATGAGTATGTAAAGTCTTAAATCAAATTTGGTATCATTGATTAAATATGGATTATCTATGTACCTTTGAACAACTACAGGTATTTTCTTTGGTATTTGATCCCACTTTGATATAACACGAATTCCAGTTCCTCTAGCAGATGCTGGCTGTAAATTAATTCAAGATATTAATTTGATCATTATTTTAAGGAACAATTTTAAAAACAATACTGGTTTAACAATCCATTTATCTTCATCATTTTTCTCCCAAACTTGTCTTAAAATTTTAGCTTCTTGAGGTAATATATATGATGTGGGTATAAAGCCAAAATGTTCATTACCATATTTCATCAATAATATATTCAAGTTTTTCCACAACCTATCTTTGCGACCAATTTGAAAAGTACCAGGAAAATGGTTAAGTTTTTGCTGTTGCCAAAGTGTTTTGAAACATAATGATTTCATATGTTTACCCCAAGTTCCAACCCAATCATTAGATTCTTAAAAATAATAATAATAAAAACAAACATTAATTCTTATTATAAACATTTATTTAATACCTACTAATATAAATTAAAAGGAAAAAAGTACAAGTGATCATATCATCATGATATCAAGTCATATCATTAATACATTAGGTGGAGGAGCTACACCACAGAAAGCATCAACAATAGGAGGTGTAACACCACAGTGATTTTATAAGGAAATGACATTTGGATTTGATTGATTAGTTATGAATTATGATAGAAGGATTAGTTGCATTTTGTACTAAACTATATCTACTCACTTTTAACTAGTTTAAAACCACTATTTTGAATAGTTTGGCGTACAACAATTGGAGTTATGGTACTTAGTTTCCATTTTAATAACTTTTGCAAAGGTAATGGAAATGTTTCACCTGTTATAAAAGTTAATGAAAAATTAATGATTTTTATAGTAGTAAATATTAAATAAAAAGATTAGTACCTACCTTTAATATTGTATGAAGAAAATCTTATGTATGGTGGCATATTAGAAAATAAACTAGGTCTTAGGGCTGAATGATATTCAAAATGATCTGTTTGTTTTTGAGTACCTGTAAGGTATTTTGTTGGTATTTAAAATTATCATTATTATACATTTTTGTTTCACTAAATTCCTATTTGAAACATATATTACCTACCTGAAAATAAACTGTCAAAAGCTAATTTATTTTGTTCATCAGTCATAAAATCTTGTTGTATACTCTTGTTAAGAGTTTTCACTATTTGACATTGTAAGATTTTTTGAGCATCTATTATAAAAACAGTATATAAATAAAATTCAAACAAATACATAGTATTATGACAAGGTGTAGTTAATATTTACTTTCAGATGTGATTGATGTGAAGTCTATGTGTGTTTTCAATGAGCTGAAATAAAATAATTTAATTATTACCTAGATTTAAAAATAAAATATTTTATTTTATTCTTACTTAGCAGGAAACATAGATGTGTTGTTTAAATTATCAGTTCTCCTTTTATTTTTAGGAGTTTTATTATTTTTGTCAGATAATTTTGATTTTGATTTTTCACTTTTAAGTATTAGTTCTAGAATTGGAATTGTTTTGTCTTCCTTAGTAATCAGTAATAATGCATTCGCCTTAGGAATGCCTTCAATATTTTTTATTGATTTAAAAGTTTCTTTTGATTCTATAGGCATAAGTGTATCTAATCGCACATGGTTGACAAGCATTTTCTGATTTGGAATGTTTATGAGATCTTTATTCTTTAGATTTGAATTATTATTCAAATGATTATTTGAGGTTAAAGATGAGCATCCTATGTTCTTCATACAATTTATAGAAATAAGATGCTTAGGAAGAACTATTGGTAATATCTAAAGTAAAATGTATTCTAAATAATATAAAATACATTTAAATAAAAAAACTATTTTTACTGGAATACTTACATTAAGCTGGCAATGAACAGGAGATTGTCTTATGTGCATATTATTATTTTTAATTGATGTATAATTAAATTGATCAATACTTTTGAACTCCTCTTGATTTACACAGTTCTCATTTTCTCCCCATTGTCTTGAATTACTATGATATTGAAAAATATCATTGTGTCTATCATTATGTTCTATTTCATATATAGATTGTGTTGTATAATCTTTCTTATTACTTCCTTAAAAAAATTAGTATTTTATATTTTTACTAAGTAGTTAGTTTCTAGTTTATTTATTAATTTTGAAAATTGCTAATTTTTAATCTCTTCTGTATTGTAGATTGCAAAACATTTGGCCAATTATAAATCAATAATATCAATTTTGATTTTAAATAAGAACTTTTTAATAAACTAGTTAAAAATAACTTGTTCTACTTACCTAATGAATTAAGAGGTCTGGATGATGCATTTGAGTAGTTTAAATTGTCCAATGTAGGATCAGTATTCAAAACTGGACAGGGACTTAATTGTAGAAGTCTTTCTGAACTATGATCCACTGTTTGATATAAGTTGGTACAGAAAGTTTGTAAACGATCTATAGGATACCACTGTTCTTTAATCCCATCTAATGAAAATACATTATATTGTTGATGGGGATCAAGTGGTTGAGATATTTTTATTATATTCATATGTACATTGCATGAGGGGCAAAAATAATTTTCCGGTATGGTTTCTACATTTGACAGATTATCAACCAATAATAAAAAATATTACTTTAGATAGGCTAATTAAAAATGTCTCATCTTAGTATATTACTTACCTAATGAATGATGAGATCTGGATAATGTATTTAAGTAGTTTAAATTATCCAATATAGGATCAGTATCCAAAATCATATAAGGATTTAATTTTAGCAGTATTTCTGAGCTATGGTCCTTTACTTTATGTGAGTTGGTACGAAGAGTTTGTAATTGATCCATAAGACTCCACCATTCTTCAATCCCATCTGATGAAAATGATTTATGTTGTTGGTGAATATAGTGGTATAATAGTGGTTGAAATCCATATATTCTATTCATATGTACATTGCAAACTAGGCAAAAAAAAGTTTCTGGTACTTCAGAATTATTTACAATCTCTTTAGTTAATATTGAGTATGATTTATTGTTCATTTTCTATCACTTGTATATTATTACAAAAAAACTGTAAGATTTGTCTATTAAAATAATAAATTATTAAAAAAAAAAATTAAAGCATCAGGTAAGAAGTTTTAATAAAAATATATTAGGACACAAAATTAAGTTATAATATTATATACAATAAATAAACATCACAGTAAATATAAATACATTAGTTTTAAAATATATTATTTAGCAAGAGAGGAGAATAGCTAGGTTAGATGTATTTTAGACAAATGAGGTCAGTAGTTAGGTAGATACTGGCATGTGTATTGTGTATATTATAGGTAGGTACTTGGCACAATGTTAAGATACTTCGACATATATGACATCTTTATACTCTATCATTTATAGAATGACATTAAAGAGAGGCCATAGTCCAAATTATTTAAAAGGAAAATATCCTTTGGAATTCTTTAAAATATTTTTCAAAAATAAGTACCTATAGAACACTGTTGTATCTATTCCTATTTATAGGAAACAAATTAATTGTAAATACAATAAATTCAAGCTTAAATTAATATCTATCTTCAAATTATTGAATTAAATAATCACTATAATTTATTGTAGATATTATCTACCTATTACCTACTGCATTCCATATAAATATAAGTTTTAAAAAATTCAAAGATCAAGAAATAATTAAAAAGTACTTATTTGTCGAACTATTAAAGGCCTTACATAGTAGGTAGGTACCTACTTACCTTTAACTATTTAAGAGTCCAGCATTTACCGTAATTAGCTTAGTAACCAAAATACATTCATAACAATCAATAAAAAAAGGTAGTTATTGAGTTTTATTAAATATTTCTTGATACATTGACTAAAAAAATGTTTTAAAAATATTCATTCCAATGTACAAGATTTAACCATTTCACAAAAATAAACGCGAGTACCTACACAACATTTTTTATTCACCATTGCATTATTATTGAAAAATTAAATATTTCAATACATGTCAACTACCTATATTTAAAAAATAAAACTGATTCAGTCAATTTACCTGTACTTAATAATCTTTTTAATGTTTTGGTTAGGTACTTTGGAATTTTGCTTGATAGTAGGTACATTTCGTTTTGGTTTAGACATTTTACTTAAATTTTAATAATTATAGATAAGTATTGTTTCTTCTTTAACTACCTATATTTTGTTATGAGTTGTCAATGTTTATTGAAAATACAATATCACTTCTTAGTTCTTATAATGTTATTTATAATACACATGTGCATGATGTATGTGTTTAAAAATATATATAAATATAGTAGGTACCCTGATAGCAAATGATTGACTAAAAATATTACTTTAACATTATAATAATATTATTATAATATTATCATATCGGGGTACCTATAACTATTTGAAAGTTTTAGGGCTTCGTTTGATTTAACTGAACAGAAATGTATGGCTTAGGCACTCTGGTTTTCTATAAATCAGGCTCCACTACACTGCAATACACTACTGTACAAACAAACTCAATTTTTTGCATTTTAAGATTTATTTAAATTTTAGGTCTTTTTTAAAATTTTTCAGTTTTCATTCTTTATTACTTTTTTCGATTTCAATATTTTTATAAATCCCATTTATTTAAAATTTTTTTTCATATTTTACTCGTATTTTTTTAATGTTTATCTTCTACATTTTTGCAAATGGTTAAAAATATAGCTTTTATTGATACAGATAGATAGATTTCAGATTTGTGTACCTTTTATATTTTAAATCCATTTTTTAGGTTGCATTATGTAGGTGTAGTGCGTTAGTGCATTTTAAAGTTAATTTATTTAGATTTTAAATGCATTTTTTAAGGTTTTTCACTGCATTAGATTCACAGCCATAATCATAACAATTTAAGCAAATCAATGTTCTTTTTAAGTTATAATATAATATGTACAGTCAGTGGTGTAGCCAGGGAGGATTTTAGATTTAGAAATGTCCCCCCTAATAATGTATTATTTATACACGAAAACTGTAAAAAGCATGGTTTAATTTATAATTAACTCCCCCCCATATTCAATAATCCTGTCTACGCCACGGTGTACAACAAAACTTACATATTACAAAGTTTCATGACATCATGGGCAAACGAAAAAAAATTCTGTTATAAAAAATATCATAAAATAAAATACATTTGGTCCCAAAAATATTTAATTTAATGCACCCTTAGCACCCTCTGATTTGAGCCAATGAGTACAACACTACAACATGAGTTACAATATTAAAATGTTGGTTATAGGCTAATTCAAACTATAAGAATTCATGCCTAATAAGATTAATATTTATTTTTTTTTGGAATTTAGATTATTTAAATATTGAGTAGATAGGTACCTAACATAGGTGCCACAGGGTCTCATTACAATATAAGTTAAACTTAAAAAATATTTGGCTAGTTTAATATTATAGGTGTTAAGTATAGATAATTTAAAAAAATAAAACTTATTCCCTTATCTATTACCTAGTTGTATAAAACGAATTTACCAGAAAAAAAAAATTATAAAACATAAAATACGGCACTATATCGTTGTACCACCTCGATTATTGCTTTTAGTGTAGGTACCTACCTCAGTTCATGGACCTCATCGGCATCGGTGTAAGTACCTCGCATTGTGAACTAGTTCAACCAAGATAGGAAATCCGACCTGTGTCTATTGGATGTAGCACTTGGTATATTTTCGAAAGTGCAGGTTCAAAAATTCAAGCTACGACTCTCTAACCTTTCCTGATATCTCGATGAACAATCTCTGAAACCTAAAAATCGGTAAGTACCTAATAAAGTAGTCTTTGATTTTTTGAGTCTATACGGCTACGGACATAAGGAAAATGCCTTCTGTTGTACATTTGAATTGGTACCAAAAAGTACCTAATAGTAACAGTAACAAATAATAAATTAAATAATATTAAAAATTATTCAATTTTATTGAGCCAAAATGAAATTCATGTGTAAGTCACCTAGCTATAGAAACATACTGTGCATGAAAAACAAGCTCAGAATCTCAAGGTTTCTGAGATTAGTCGTTACCTATTAAAAAAAACTAACTCGTTAGTCATTACACTTTTATATAGATAGCAGCGATAAGGTTATAAGCTGATACTCCTAATGTAACTAATGCAATTTACTGGTTGAAACTTTAAGAATAGCAGTTCGAAAACCAATTATCTCTTAGTGAAAAATAAGAATCTACCTATTTAATCGGTAATCTGTATCATAGGCGAAACTACGGGTCACGCCAGTCAGGTCATTTACTCGATCTAATACTGAGTGGATAACATGGGTACCTACGATTATACGACTGACTTAATAGAATTTAAAATTTAAAACTTGTCTTGTAATTAGAATTTTTTAACATTTATAATTTGGCCAGATGTAATGACATTTTCTAGTTTTGTTTATGGTATTGCCTAGGTTCAATACATTTATTTGACATTTAATTGAATTTAAAAACATGTATTAACTAATAAAAATGTAATTGGTTTAGTAGTGGCACAAATAATTATTTAGGAACGAATTTAACTAATTTAAACGGTTACAGTAGAACCTCGATTATCCGATATAATAGACAGCACCTAGTTCGGAAACTCGAAGGAACGAATTCTAGGAATCTTTTCAATGCTAGGTGTCTAGGTAATACCTACTATATGTTTATGTAGATTGTAGGTAGTAGGTAAGTACGTGTAATATATAATATGATATATTAAATTATAAAATGTATGTAATATTTTCATACATATCACGAAAAACTTTATTTATTAATTTATAATGTTATTATTAAAATAAAACACAATTATTAAATACCAACCATCAATTATTATAATTTATATTATATTATAGGAACTACTTGAGTATACGTGTACGAGCACTATAGTGACACTAGTGCGGTACAAGTCGACAACGCATTCAGATATAGTTAAGTAAATAATTGCAATTATTCGGATGATAGAGGGATCGTAAACGGAAGTTCGGATAATCGAGGTTTTACTGTACTTATTAGTTATTAGTAAGAATAGGTAGGTATGTACCTAAAGATATTATGGGCATAATATATTGTCTAGGTACTCACAATCAATGAAAAATCCAATTTTAAGATTAAAAAAAAATAAATTTGCTTAAATACAGCTGGTACTGAACGCTTGAAAATCTTGATTTTAATTTAAGCAGCTGTATACATAGGAAAAACAAGTAATAATAAAACGTTAAAAAATAAAAAGACAATAGAATTTGACGGAGGGAAACCTATGAAATAATTCACCATGGATACGATCATGATAACATATAATAATAATAATAAATGTATATAAATGTCGATAAAAAAAGCTTGAAAATCTAGTACAAGGTTCGTTATAAGAAGTTTATACTGGATTTAATAAAAAATGTGAGCCGTAAATCTATAATATTTTTTTATAAGGGTTTGTATTTAAAATTTTAAAAACATACCTATTTTGTCAAAAACGTGAAAATTTGCAAATTATATTGTAGTTAAAATTCCTAAAATATTTTATTTTTTTTATACCTACCTATAAAGTTTGAAAATATAGGTGGTATAAGTGTTATTATATAGGTCTTTCAAGAAATGTAGAAAAAATGAATATAATTCCAGAAATATTTTTTATGAGCGTCTGACATTTAAATTTAGATGAACTTGAATATTCACGCATCGCAAAAGGTTTCGCATAAAATGATAGTTTTTTTAAGGTTGATTATTCGTAAAATATTAACAGTACGATTCGTTTAGAATTTAGATGAAAGTAGGTTCGTGACAACTTTTATGTACTTAGTATGTAGTAAAAACTACACGACATGATACGTCATACACTAAAGGGTCATCAGTGATGAGTCATCACATACAAATGTCATTATAATATAGTTTATATGAAAAAATAAAACGATATTTTAAATTAAAATTTATAAATGTAGCTACTGTTGCCGGGAGTATAGGATTATAGGAATAATGGCAGGGGTGGGGGGCTAAAAAAAGTTAGGGTGGCTTAGTCCATGTAGCTTT